CGGTTATTTAATTGTATATATTTAAAAAAATCAATCACTAAACTCAAGTTAGCTAGTCAATTTTTGGTTTCTATAATATATCTCAAATGAGTAAAAATAATAAATTAATAAAACACTAACTTTAAATGGTATAATTTTTTTTTTCTATCGACCTGACTTAGACATATTATCTTCAACTTGCCTAACCACGCCTAATTTAAACGCGCTCACGATACACCACAAATACTGCATTACGTACCTACTGTGTTTTGTGTACGTAATACATATTATACGATACACAGCATTAGCCAATTGTGTATATTACAAGAATACCCACGACGATAATCCACACACCGATTTGGTCCGATGAGCCCTGCTTGCAGATAATAATATAATTACGCTCGGTTGCGTTCATAAAACGTACATAATATGTACCATAATGGTGTCTTAAGCACGGAGCGTATATCACGCTCGGTGGTTATAATTATTTCTCCGCATTATATATTATGTACTGTTATGATGATGACGTGTAACTGAACTCGATCGTCGCCTATGCAGTGTACATACCAAATGGGGGGGGGAGAGCTCTACATTTCTGACAGATTTTGGAAAACAATTTGATTTTATATAGTTTTTGCTAGAATTAATGTACTTTTATACTCGACATTTTAAATTTGTTATACCTTTATTAATATTACGTGTTTCTATGTAATACCGATCGATTTTGAATTATTTCAATAATTCACTTTTAAAAACCACTGCTGATTAATAAAACCGAGAGTTAAGCCTTTATTGAATTTGATGGAAGCAATAATGTTTTTATTTTCAGCGAAAAACAATGAGATTCATGTTCGTACCTAGGGTGTTTAGACATGGTCCGTTTGCTTTTTTTTTTGAACTTTTTTACTCAAAATACTATAGTACTGAATAGCGTAAAAATATAATTCACATTACATAATACAAATCAAAAGTTATACAAGTAAATCAATAAATTTAATTGAGTAATACAAAATCACGTCGTTTTATGATTATTATGGTTTTATTTAAGTCAATAACAAATTATATTTATTTATTATATTTAATTGAATTCTGTTTAACTCGGAAATAGCGATTTTACAATCTGCATTTTTATTGTGCACAAATGAGTCATCGTCATCATTGTTTTTAATTATAAAATATTTGATATGTGTAGCACCAACTTCTAGGTGTGCTTTCCGGTACGCCGGCAGAATTTATTAAAATACTTTTACGCTAGCAAGTGTACATAAAATGCAACAAGATTATTTAATCACGAAACAGTTATTTTCTCAGTTAACTTCAAATATTTACTTTGCTTAATTTTAAATCATTAAAACACGATATTTTTGAAAAAAATTCTGTTTCTTTCTATTTTTTTATTTATAATTATAAGTACTACTTGAGTTCTTAGCTGAATGATGAATGCACCTATATTGATTATAAATAATTACATACGTTATATTTTGTGACTGAAAATGCTTTTCCTATAGAAGAAAAAAATACTCAAATCATCAATTTCGTGGAAGGTTTTATGCAAATCGTATCCAATTTGTAATTTGATTTTTCAAAATGAAATATTTCTTAATATTAATTAAAAACAATAGGGGGATAGGGGGAGGGGGCATAGTTGTTACAATGTGTGTATTGTTATTGAAATAATTGTTTGGTATCTTTGATTTTCAAAAACAAAAAATGTTTTTACTTTCGTTTTTCACGTTTTCAATGATTTAATATTGAATTCAAATTTAACATTTCATTAGTGCCTATACTTAAAGTTTACTTATACAGAAAGCGGTTATCTACTTGACGGGATTTTTTTTTTTACTTTCGTAAATTATTATAGAAATTTTTTATTTTATACTCCTTAACAAAATATTTTTTTAAGAGTTTCTATGTAAATCAATAATAAGTTGTAAGTACTTAAAAAGCTTAGATAAGGGGAGTAGTGCACTAACACTTTGCCTCTTCACTCCGTTTCCTGTAACATTTAAATGCTTCTGATTACAACTAGTTTGATATTTAATTTTTATTCTCAGTAAAATATTATATTTCACAATGTAAAATTAAAAATGGATGTTTTCATTAAACAATTTAGAAAACTTAAAAACTATAACTATACGTCTATACACATCTGTAAAAAATAGTGAAAATATAATTTGTTGATGTTAAGTTATTATTATACAGACTTTTAAGGAATTTTAAATATGTCATTAACACTCTAACCAGTCTAACTTAACAAGAAAATGTTTAATTTGTGATAAAAATTTCAAACTGTAAGTATAAATATATTATGATTTAATATAATTATCTGTTACCCATTCGTCGTCGTCTTTGTAGGTTGTGTATAATATAATAATAATAATAATAATAATTATTATTATTATTATTATACACTGTAGAGGTGCTTTCGTTTCGCGGCTTGTGCAGTTTCAGTGTACTATATTACAATCGGCTGTGTACTAAGCCACACGTTTTACGACTTCCATCCCGACGGACGAACTTTGCGGCCGACATTGCATTTGTTGTAAATAATAAATCATGCATGCCTCGTAACCGACTATAATATAGCGTATATAAAATATGTACGATAGTATAATTACATTGTTTGTGTGTTATTACATTGTCGCGTTATCGCCAATTGTGTACTTTTCATTATTTGAAGGCGTGTACGTGTACACTATACATGGGTACAGAGTGATTCACCAATATCGTTTGCTGCTGTTTTTTTTTCTACAATAAATTTGTTAGGACTCGAATTTTGATTTTTTTAAGTATTTATCATCACACATTTTTTGTAGATGATTATATTTTTTTATATTAAAAATCTAATGGTTTGAATTTTGATTAAATACGTCAAACTTTTCAAAAAAGCCATCTGATTCAAAATTTACGGAAATTAAACGGTTCTTATTCGAGAGGATAAATCTTTAAAACCTTGGAAAACGCTTTTCAAATGGTATGAACATGTCAAGTATCTAAAAATATATGTTGTAAAATTCCCTTAAACCACAATTTAAATAAATCAGTGAATCAGCTTATGTATATTTATCATTTATGTGTGGTGTGTAAATGTTGATAATATTTCACATACGTTATGCATATTATTTGATATAATTATTATTATCATTATAATGCAATATTTTGTCCGATTTCGTTCTTATCGCAACCAGGCTGACGACCCGCGATCGCTGCTGGTAATTATAATTCGTAGCAACTATTAGTTGTTATGGAGTAGTTGTAGGATTCCCGCAATCCACCTACAATACAATTATTATTGAACACGATTTGCATCCGAAGTGCGCATTGGGGCTCATTAGAACAATATACTTAATATTGGTAAATGGTAAAGCAATAATAATATTATCATCGTATAAGTAGTTTTCGTAATAATATGATGTACAAACACTATAAACTGTTGGGATGGACGATTATGGTTGACTTTTATCGGTTTTCTTTATATTGTTGTCATTGCGGTCCGACGATTGTTCGATGAGCGCGTGCATGAACGTGCGTTTCTCGGACTCTGGAAAAAATCTAATCTTATCGAGTGAGTCGACGAAAATCCTGTAGGTACGCGATATCGTGCGACATATAATATTATACAAGTACATAAAATCAATAAAGGGAGGAAAAAAAAACAAAAATAAAAACAAATAAGACGAAACACGCAATAAAAACCTATGTAAACCTAGCGATAAGGTATACGTCATGCATATATAAGTATAATAGCATGCAGTATTAATGGTTTCTCGTCGACCTTGCACAATAATGCATTGAACATTTGAACTACATATACTATATAAAGTTGGTATTATGCATAATATGCGTAGGTACGTTGTATATATTCACTACGTAATTGCAGGTCGCTGAGTTTCAAAAGAAAATTTAACCCATTTTGGTTTCCGTTCTACGTGTCGATATGTGACACACTATATTATAATATATCTACTATGTATTGTGTGCGTGTGTTTGCGTGCGCGCGTGCGTGTGTGTTAATGTTTTATTTTACAAGCGGCTTCGGACAAACGGAAAACACTGCGCAGTATGAAAAGCGTATAGATATTGTAAAAATTTGTGTGCAGGATGTGTTATATTATACCGTATATTATGACGTACAATAGGTACCCAGGTGCTTCAAAAATGGATGAACGAATTGAACAGATTTTTCTTTTGCTGTAGTGAGTATACTTACTCACTACGCGTTTCGTTTCAATCGTCAGACATTTTCGTTCGTCGTCGTTTCAATGCCACGTAATGATGACAATGTAATGAGAAATTGTATTATATACGTACGCGCATAGGAAATAACATGTCAGATTATATTATATCTATAGCGTAATATTATATATAGGTAAGTGTGGATTGTGTGGAATTTACGTAAAACGAGTTAATGTATACACTTTTTATAAACATTTTTAGGTGTATTTTTTTAATTTTTAAATAGTGTTTCTACGCTAATACACGTTTCTTGCCATCTAAAAAAAAACTTTTATAAAGCATAAATGCTGTGCAATATATACATAATTATTTTTGAATAATAGTTATTATATGCTTGTAAAAACATTTAAAATGAAAAGGTCACTCGAATTTACTTTTAGCCGTAAAATTTACTGAGATGACAAGATTACATCGCTAATCGTACATCATACTATGTCAGCTAAGTTTCAATTTTGATTGAAAAGACCCAATTATTACTGTCAATAATCACAAAGACAATATTATTTAGGGTGTGGACTTATAGTGATTATAATATTACTGCGTCAACCTTGTAATATTACATTTTTGGAATTTTAAAAAACTAAAAAATATCTGATTAAACACATATACAAGTTATTATTACAATAATCTACTTACGCGTTTCGGTGGTTTTAAAAAAAAATTGAATAATAGCTGATACCTATGTATAATGTATATGTATTTTGATAGTTTTCAAATTTGAGATTCTTGTGCGATAGATTAATTATAAATTAATATTGCATTTATTTTTATTTTTTCTTATATAGTACACCAACAGCAACAACAGGATACCTACGGCCTCTTCACCGGCTAACACTAATAACAGCAGCTCTAGCTCCAACACCAACGGCGGAGCTTCGTTGCAATCGTCTAACCAGCCAACCACTAGTTCGCCATCGTCAGAATGTCAATCAGCCCCACCGGCACAGCAGTTATCCAAGACCAACCTTTACATACGCGGATTGAATCAAAACACAATGGACAAGGATTTGATCACCATGTGTTCGCAGTGAGTAAAATAAATAATAATCTTATTGAAGTTATATCGACCTGCGCGTGTACAGTGCGTTACGCGATGATTATATAAATTATAATATACTCAATATAATAATTATCTACATTTCTATAAAATTTGGTAAGCACGAATTTATGGGCTGGTATAGAGGATTACCAAGATGACATTTTTTTTTTAGTTAGAATACCGAATTATCTACCAGTTCTGTAGACACACACTAACCCAACTTACCCAAAAACAAATTATGATGTTGTACTAAAAACTGCCGTTATATTTATTAGCAATTGACATTTATTTATCAAATGTTGCTAGTATAATTCTCCTGAAAAAAAAAATTTAGAGAACATCATTGTAAAACTGATTGATTTGTATTATGTAGACTCGAAGTTTGAAAAATCTTTTAGTGACGTATAACATTTTAATTTTCAGTACAATTTTAATCAGAAAAAAAAATAAACTATCTTAAAAAATATTCAAAAAGTTCATTATTTAAATACAATATTATATAAGTAAGAAAATGTGAACCTAAACAAAAAGTTAAAAGACATTTAAAGTTCAAATTGCGATGAAATTTATTATTTAAGAAAAAAATAATAAGGTTTTTTAAATGTTAATTCTAAAGCTTTTCATTTTAAGTTACACAATAACATTCACCATTACAAATTACTTATACTTTAAAATAAAACAGTGTATAAGTAAGTATGATATTATATGTGTGTGTATGTGTCTAATGTGTACATTGTGTACATTTTATTTTTATTAATAAAGTTCACGGGTATTATGTAAGTTAAGAAGGCACAATGTTACAATTTTTAAAATATTTTCTAACGTTTCTGCTCAAGTCGATATATTATTATCTTGTATATTATATTATTATGTATGTGTTTTAATCTTTTGTATTTTACGCAATTTCATACTATATTTTGTTTAACCTTCTACATATTGAATTTCATTGAAATCCGCTTATACTATATTGCTATATTGTTATCTCTTGACTTTAGCTAAACATAAATCAATGTCGAAAATAAATAATTATAATACATAATAAATAGTTCATACTCTCAAGTTATAAAGTAGTATTTATAATATTTAATAATTCAATTTAAAACTAACTTATTTGTAAAAGAGAATTATTTTCTATTATATATTATAATTCCACTTATCTATTTTTCTTATTTAAATAATTACGATACAAAATTAATGATTTTGTAAAGAAATCCTCTTACTAAAACAAGTTATTAGGTTATGCAATATATATTTAGAGTATTTAATTAATTTAATGAAAAAAATAAAAATGGTAATATATACTATAATATGTATGTAAAAATATCGATTCATTTTAAAATACATATATTATGCTTTATAATAAGTCAAAATAATCAGTTTAACCGTAAAAAAAGAGCTACCACACTTTATTACTATATGTTTATTTAGTTTTGATTAAAAAATATTTAGTTTTAATTCCTTGTAAAAAGTACTTTTTTAAATAAAAGCAAAATCTTATTTAAGAAATCAATAAACCTATAACAGCCAATATAATAATATATAATATTAAATCAAATATTTCCAACCACAAAAGTAATCATGCACATAACAAAGCTTTTAAAAGAGATGAATAAAAAACTTATTTTAATCGGTTAGTACTTTAATTTTCGTTACCACTACGACGACCTACTTTATTCATTTCAACATTTTTTTTTATGATATTCTTCTGTGGTAATACCGTCAATTTATTTTTAAATATAAATATATGCATGTTATACGCATATTCAACCTGATTTTATGTATATATCAGCTGTGAATTAAATGTAGTTTCAAGTTCTGCGTATAAAGGATATATTTGTAAGACTTTGATTTATTCAAACTTTTTGTCGTCTTATAAGGATTGCTTTTGTGGATGTAATCCTCGCTCGGTTTTTAAAACTTTATATTGGAATTCTCTTACCTAAACCACTTACCCGTGTATACTTTTTAAATCAATATTTTATCAACGTTTTCTATTCATTATTATTTATATTATTTTATTTTCATCATTTGATGACAAGCTATGTATGAAATATTAAAATATAATCAATTGCGCACAAATTCTTGATTTAGTATAGTCAGTCCCAAGCGACAATATGGCCTGTTTTATCCGCCCACCGGATCTGCATTGCGTGCTCGCAGCGCGTCTTGATTGTGTATTTGCGTATATTTCAATACGCTTTGTCTGCTGTACACATGCCATTATAATATATAATATTATGCTACCCAATTTTTATGCGCTTAAACTTAAACATTAATTCATTAGAATTTTATCTAAAATAAGTTTTTTTTTTAATTTTAGATACGGCAACATAGTTTCAACTAAAGCGATATTGGACAAGAACACTAACAAGTGTACGAGCGACGTATTGTATTATATTATTATTTTTAGCATTACCTCGAGAAAAAGGATTTAAGGATAAGAGGAGTAACACAGAGACAGTTGTTTATAATTTTAAAGAAAGTAATCAAAAAATTAATGGGTTAAGTCAGGTTAGGTTAAGTATACGATGTAGATGGGGCATGATATAGTACATGTGATAATTATTACATAAGTACTTAAAATCGATGTTACAAGATAATAGTGATTTTGAGGATTAAATAGGATTATCTGTGGATAGACTAAGTGGAGAGGAACTTCAGATTTTTGATATGATGAGATAAAAAGGTAGATTTTATTAAGTAGCTGTGAGGCTAGTTATATTATATAGATTGAATGGCTGCGCAGAAAATAATAAAACAGAACAGAGAACGATGATAGAGATACTTGGGAATGCAGAGTAAGAAATCAATTAATTAGATGTAGTGTAGAAGTGGTGCCTGCAGTTGTAAACAGGATAAGGATAAATCTATCGAGATGGTTTGGCCATGTTATTAGTAAAGGTGACTGGGTAGTAGTGAGCCACCTAACCTAACCATGGAAATAAATGTAAAAAGCAAGAGAGAGAGAGAGAGAGAGAGTAAAACTGGAGGAGAGATAAATAAATCATTCGATTAAAAGATAGTACGAAAATAGCTGGTGTGAGTAAAGAAGAGGCGGAGGACAGAACACAGAGAAATATAGAGGTATGGACAAGGGTGTCTGACCTCATATAGTTAGAAGCGAAGGGCGAAGAAAAAGAAAAAGGAGAAAATTCTCGGCGTTACCTATATTATTAATTAAATAACTCGGTTTTTTTTTTTACTACAGACGTCGTTCTGTCGTCAAAAACAGCCTCTTAAAGTCTAGCGACCATTTGACATTAACGCTATTCTTTTGTGTGTTTTTGCGTCTGATATAGGTTATGGATTTGTAGACTTCGAGTCGGGCTCTTGCGCTGACGCCGCGGTCAAAGGTCTGCAAGCAAAAGGTGTCCAAGCCCAAATGGCTAAAGTGGGTATTCCAGTTCAACGTAGAGCGGCCACTGTACGTTTGTTGCATGGATATTATTTATACCATATTATATTATACACTTATTATTGTTAAAAACTCTGTCGCTGTCAAACAGTATACTAGTTATAATGTAATATGTTTTTCGTTTTACGTTTTTATCTCACAACGATAATAAATAATATTGTCGTGCTGCTAAATCGTTACATACATTTAACCACATGTGAATGTATACGTTGTATCAGCTGTTTATCTGTATTATTATTATTATTACTATTACAGTCGTGTGAACTTAAATCTGCAGTGTCCATGCTTGTGTCTGTGCGTGTGTTTTTTTTCATGTATACCATTATACTCGTATATTAAGTTAGGCGTTATGAAATAACAGAAAAAAAATGAAACATTTTCGGCTTATTATTTTTTATTAGGGCGGGCGTACCTCCCTATATTTAGAACGTTATATGTGTTTTATATGTATGACACAATGATAATAATAAATTGGTGTTGATACGCACCTACCTTCAGTAGTGGGGTGGTTGGTTTCACAAAAAATAATATCATACCTCATTTTCAACGCGTCCGTATACCTATATATATATATATATATATATATATATAAGTATATGTATTAAATATTTATTCTTTGATTTGTGTTTCGAACAATGTGTTCCTAAGTGGTTTTCAGTGTATTTAGTGTACGCTTCTATACATTTTAACAGCGTACGGTGATTGCATACAGATAACCCATACAAACGCAGGGTGTAGGTGCGGGACATAGCCCTGCCAACGCAATTGCGTTTATTCGATATTTTTATTTCATATTATCGCTGGGTTTTTACGAGGTGTGTCTGTCGGACGCTACTGCTGAATTTTATCGTTGTTGATCGATCAATTTTGAGTCATCTCGTATTTATCTAGCTAGGTATCTATTTCTTTACCATTCATATATTAGGTTTATTTTCGATTCAAATATCTTAAGTAGCGTTTGTCATTTAAGTGGATGACTCACAAGTGTATTTTTCTTATTACCTGTATCTATATCATGTGTATTATCACTATAGAGATACGAGTACACAAAAAATCGATTATTGTAAAACCGTCATGCATTAGGACGTTGTTGAGAAAAAATATAATATACAATATTTATCGACGAATTTTTATGATAAAACAAAAGCGAAACCATTATTTATTATATTCAATCCGCCAACAGCCTGTAATTTATTATGGCGGCAGATGCGTTTCATATTTTTTGTATAATAGTATTAAGTATAGATACTTATTTCTAAGTAGTTTAACATAACGATTATGTTTTAGTCTCTTAATTTGTGTTAAATGTGATTTTTTTAAATTTTCGTGGTATTGAAAAAAACATTTATATTATATCATAATAGATATACATTAAAAACCCATTATTACAGGACGTTTATTTTAAATTATTCAACTACCTATTATCTATATAGTTTCAAAAATAACAGAAATTACGAGAACCATTTTGTTGACAAATTATTAATTTTAATTTGCCTCTTTCAATGTGAAAAAATAAACTGCTTTACAACCGACAAAAAAAAAAATATATATATATACACGTGTAAAACATAATAACATAATTTTACACCAAGTACAATTTAAATTGATTAAAGTCATACTCCTATTATAAAATTTAACTTAGTTTTTCTTCTTAAAAATTGGTATCTAATTTTTTTGTTTAACTTAGGTTAAATTTTGCAGTGAAAGATATATTCGTGTTAAACTTGTAATGTTTCTAATAACATGTCGACTATTGTCGTAAAATTCAAATTATTACGTTCTACGATGTTTTTTTATACTTATTTTTTATCATAATTACTGTCATTGAAGGTTACTCCGAAGTATTGATCTAAACGAATTTAACCAGATGGTAGCAATTTATGATGTAACTGAAAAGGTTTTTTTTCTTAATTTTGTTACTTGTCACATTTGCAAACACTTTAAGCTGTTTTAATACATTAGTTGGCAATTATTTTATAAGGATCTACTGTTTTTATAATCAAATTAATTAAAAATGTATTGACGTAATCAAAGTATAATAATGAAGTGTTTTTCAATTTATATGCTCCGTATGTACTATAAGTGGTATAAATAATTGGTATTTTATGCGATAATATTTATAAATCATTTTTAATTTGTTCTGCTTTTTCTTCTTTATATTTTACTTTCACTAGGTAAGACATTACAACCATCATTTTCGTTCTAAAAATATGAATTAATCGTACCAATATTACCCAAAATAGCTATAAAATATTTAATAATTATGTAGTTATTCAATGCTTACCGGTTATCTTAAAGAAAAATTAATAAACTTACTTTTATAAATGAAAATTCATTTTTTTTAAAATTTATTTATTTAATTTTTTTTTTTTTTTTTTGACGCATATACCTAGTAAAAATAGTTTTTATTGAAACTTAATATATTTATTCTATTACTATTATGGTAGTGGTAAAGGTTATGGCCCCATAGTAAACTTTTACATCGATTTTTCTATTTATTTCTTCTAAAAGATCTACTAAACGCCCCTGTGGTAACTTATTTATATACTTATCGATAAACAATGAACCATTGACTTAGCTTTTAAGTGGGTTTTTAGAGTTCTATAATATTGATTGTGTACTTAACAAATGTTTTCAACTCTAAACGTATTTATATATTCTATGATAAATTAATTTATTTGGTACGAATTCTCTTGAAATTTGTTCCTTAATCTCGTAACCGTCTTAATCGACTTAATAAAACCATTTGCTTTGAACGTATTTGTTGAAACACGCAAATCCAAACAGTTAATAGTTAAATTTAATTCGATTGGCTGAACGAATTAAGAATGCAATACATTAGAGTTAATTTTCGTTCAAAACAAATACGTACGCTATGTTATTGCTTCTTGTAATCTCGTCGGTCTCACAAGACGGCTCTTGTCGTGGGTCATATAATATACATTATTCGCAATATTTTCAGATATCAAACTCTCTAAGCTGCCTTTTGTTAGAATCACAAAACGCTGTGAGTTGGCAACGCAGGCAAAGGAGAATAAAGAAAACAGCGAACTCGGTTTAAAAATCAATAGTTTCAAAACCTCTCGAGTAATTTTGAAACTCTAAATCTACTTATAGACGTCGTTAATACCATCGCGATGTACGAGTAGACATTTAAACCGCGGTTTACAATCTTTCGGGCTGCTTCCCTGCCTGTGCCTCTGTTTTATTGTCAATGCGTTCGCTTCCGTTTTCTGAACGTACCGCTTAATGATAATATTGTCTTTGCGATTGTGTTTGACTAATGGCTACGGGATTATAAAACTTATTGGCGTGCTACATAATGTGTATAATTACACGTCTAAAAACGTCAGAACAATTGTTATACGCTCTGTTATAAGACGATGTACAAAAATGTTTGCTCTGCGTTCATCGGTTTGTTTTCCTATATCGTATAACATATACTATCTTATATACGAAACCGCAATGACACAATTCGCGTCCACAGACGACCAATCATTGTTGACTTATTTCTATTGTCCGTCTTCTTGTGTTTGAGCATAGTTTTTTTTCTGTGTTTTAATATTTTAGCAACGATTAAGTGTGTTTGCTTTCGATATATCTTATACTATTATTGCTATGTGTGTAGTGTGTACATCTTATGGTTTATTTTTCTAAAGTAATTCATAATAAATATATTGTTATACATTTGACGTTCTTCCTCTTATATATAATAATAAGTATATGTATCGAGAATCCATTTTTTATCTGGGTATAGAGGAAACAAAATATTAACTTGTACACGCACGCACAGAGAAGCCTATGCGTGTGATCACTATTAATTTGAGAGAAAGAAAATTATCATAATAATCAATATTAAATTTATTTTGTTACTGTTTGGCTGTTTTTACATCATTTGAAAAATAATAATTTTTTTTTAAAATAATTTTATGGTTTAATTTTATTAGCAGCAAGAACAAGATCCTACCAACTTGTATATAGCTAACTTGCCACCGAATTTCAAAGAGAATGATTTGGATACGCTACTATCGAAATTTGGTCAGGTAGTATCAACTAGAATTTTGCGTGATACAAATATGGTCAGTAAAGGAGTCGGATTTGCTAGGTAAATTAAAATATAGTTATTTTATACAAATATAAATATTCTCTCGCCAAAATTATTTTAATATTTTTATTATCTAACTATTTTCAGAATGGACTCCAAGGAAAAATGTGAACAAATCATTCAAATGTTCAACGGCAATCCATTACCAGGATCTAAAGAACCGTTGCTAGTCAAATTCGCTGATAGTGGTCAAAAGAAGAGAAACACTAGCTATAGATCAGACTCTCGTTTGTGGAGAGAATCGGAGGTACGTTTTGAACTATATACTACGTGTTTAACACACACATTATTCATTTAGATAAATTTTAACTTAGAAAACCATACGTAGTTATATTATATATAAGTTGTAGATAATAGAATCGTCATTAGTTCGTTTTTATAAATTTAATTTCTTCGTAGAATAGATGATACAATAGAATTATATAAATTAAATCCTTAAAATTAAATAAATCTATTTTTTATTTATTAAATAAATAATATATATATATATATATATTGTTTACCCTATTTTTACATTAACATTATAAGTTCTTCACTCTATTAATGATGAATCTTAGATATTATAGTTAAATATATTGGACGAAAATTTAAATAATATACATTATACATTTTAAGTAACTCAAAGTAAACGATTAACTACAGTTTTATAATGTTCCATTTTTAATAGATAATAATTTGAAAATGGTCAATTAAAATTTAAAACTTTAATCATACATAAACGATATACCTATCTAATTGTGCTTATTTCTGTAACTTGCAATTTTACTTCAGAAATAAATTTCAATACAAAACAACTTAAAATTGAAAAATAATTCTAATTAATGATTTTGTTTAAATATAGATAAATTAGGAACTAACAATTAAATTTACGAGGTAAAGTCAGTAAAAAAAAAAAACAAAAGTTATTAGTTTATATATTTTATGTAATCAGGCAAATATTTATATCTTTTTACATAATTTTAGTGTTTTTTATAAAAAAAAAATAGCTAGCTAGTTTATTTTTTTGATGCAGAAATGTGTTCATAGTAATATAAGTTTAACGATCAAATACACGTATACGATTTTCATATTTTATGATCTTACCATTTATACAGAATTTTTTAGGATCTTACACATTTTAAGGTGTATTCTGATTAAATATACAATTTTAATGTCCTATATTTCATTTCTAACTCAATAAATCGTCAAATATAAAATAATTTTTCAACATTTTACAAATATAACAATTTCATTTTCGATAACCCAAAAGTATTCATAGTACTTAATTTAATGTTTGGAACTTAATTAAATGGTACTTACGTCGTATACAAACTTTTCGTACGACACATACAATAAATAATTTATTAAGACATATAAATATATTTTTCTTAAGAAATATTGTTGGGACGAGTTAGTTTGTCTACCTCAATAACTTTAATTAATATATATATATATATATACCTAAAAATAGACTATTTATGGATGCATGTAATTATTTTAGTATGTTTTGTATTACCTAAAAGATATCAAGAAATTATTTAACCTGTACATGACCGATAAACAATTCAGATTTACTTTCATATATTTCGGGTCATGTTTTATGATGTATCAAACGAAAAAAATAATAGTCTACTTACAGCGTTGAAAAAATATAACGTTAAGTTTAAGTATACATAGATACAACATTTTATTTAATATGCCTAAAAAACAAAACTTATCTGTTGAAAACAGTTAATAACAAATAGATAGTTTTGGATCAATCTGTTTGATACTATATAATCTCTCCGTATATTAGTAAAATAAATAAATAATATTTCCATGAATAATTTTAAAACGATTAAAAACATATATATATATATATATATATATATATATATGTTATATTGAGTAATACAACTGCAGTGTTAATAAATGTTTTTGTTTTTATTATTCAATATCATATAAAACAATGCATCAATTTATAAAATTATAAAAAACTACTTTGTAGATTCAAAATTATAGTAGCTATATATATTCATAATATTCTTTAATTTAAATATAAATCGTTTTTAAACAGCTTTTTTTTTCAAATAATTGTTGTAAGTTAAATTTAGTGATCATACATTAACCAATAGCGTTAACGTTAATTTTTCATAAAAATACTGTCTCTTGAAAATTGGTTATGCATGATATTACGTACTCTAAAGAACGGAGCTTTCATTTACCACCCATATTTACATAATAATATTATGTTTGATGAGCTTTGTTCGTTTAAATTGTAAAAAGTACATCTAATTCTATTGTATCATTTATTTATTATCAAGGCTCAGATGTTAATAACTTTTTTTTAACATATTTATGTACGTTTATTTTCTAGTTTAAAATATCTTCCAATACCATAAAAATGTTTATCATTTTTTTGTACTTAACATTTTTATTAGTGAAAAATAATTGCTTTAATTTATTCATTTATTATTTATTTATTTTTAATTTTCGTTTTATGTGATTTTTATTTTACCTGTAGATTGGAATAATTTTAAAGTTTAATCAAATAAACATCACAGTTTAATATTTAGCCATTATATTATGTGCGTTGTCGTATTTTTATTTTTTTATCGCGTCTTAAGACAATTAAATATGAAAAAATCAAACCGCATTCATAAGACACCAAAAAGTGCATTGACATCCGGGTTCAAACTTATGACCATTATACTTATTTATAATTGTTGTATGACCATTATACTTATTTATGATTTTTGTTGTTGTTGTTGTTGTTGTTGCATACTATTATATATTATAATAAAACTCTATTCGTTGTTGTTGTTGTTGTTGTTGTGTGACAGAACGGCGGATGTATGCGATTTCCGGTACAGCACTATATGTTGCAGGGCTCACACGTCGGATACGAAGCGACCCACAACGGTCTGGCCGGCTCAGCCGGCTCGCACGTCATACCGGCCACCGCCCTTGCGCAGTACGTCGGCCGGCACTACACCACGCAGGCGTTGCCTGCCCACGGATACTCGATCCCGGCATCCACGTGGCTGCCTCAATACGTGATGCAGCCCGCTCCGCCACATCACCTGGCTCAGATAGACGTATGCGCCACATATACCTTACCTAACCTAACTTCATTTACACCTTACCTGTGTTGACCGTATCGTTTTTCGTGTTTCCGCCGTCACGATCCGCCCACGATCATTATGCAATTTGTACGTTATTCCGGGCACACCCAGCGATAATAAGCTCCGAGCTTAAGAGACATGTTTAGAGGCGTCGTCCCCTAAAGGCCAGGCTTTTCAACGAGAATAAGATCGATTATATTTTTATTACCTAGTCGATATTTCTATGGTATAGTTAAGTTAATTACGTCTTGAAAATGCATTGAAATTTCCTCTTAATTTTACAAATCGGGTTATCATTTTGTCGGGTTGTTGGTTTATTATTTGCAAACCGTCATTTTCATATTATGCCAATACCATAGTTGCAGTTATATTTTCTTGTATACTATATATTCTAAATTTATTTTTTATTCTACCAAATTATGAATACGCCATTTTTACTTGACGACTTGTACTCACAATAATAGTTGAGTATATTTTTAAAGCAAAGTCCCGGCGAGGAAACACAGTTATTTTCATTTTTTCCAGATCCGTTGTACTCAAATTACAGTGTAGGTATATCAACTATAAATGGGCTGCGTTAAGTCAAGCACTCTTGAAACCACACTGTTTTATTACAGATAAAACTATTTACATCTTTATCGTATGCAAAGATGAAATTTTAAATGTTTTTGTTTTTAATATCTTATTCAGTTAAGTGTTTTAGTCGTGCCAGTGGTTGGAAACATAAGGATGTTATAAATAAAAAAAATATAATCAGAAACAAATGTATAGGTTTCAATCATAATATCAGTATATCACTCAATATTCTTAATTCTTATATAGCTATAGTTTATGCTATATCATATGGAAAAAACCGAGGCCCTTGAAAAGTTGTGGCTCAGGGATCATATTCCTCATCATTCCATTCCTGATTTGGAATCGAATACATGTCATCGTTCAAGTCACGTGTCATCAACGAACCACTTACACGAGTTATGTCGATGATCGACATGTATTTTTATAACCGAAAGAATCACTTGAACCAGTCGATTAGAATTTAGTTTATTAAAATCTTATGATTTAATATAAGAATAATAGAACATTATTCAATACTTACACGGTTTATGAAGTATTCAAATAGGTTCATGTATAAACCATTAAAATAAAACGATCGTGATCAACAATTATAAATATTATTATTCATAAATATCATTATACGTACGTTATTTGGGTTTCTTGCTGCGTTTGAATAAAAAAATATTTATTTTATTTAAGCATACTTTTTAGCGTTTCGCCAATCTACTTACTGAAACCGTTTTCATTTTATTAAGTATGTAATATCGTAATTCAAATATCAGAGAAATTATATGTTTTTTCTTCGACCTACATTAGTTTTATTTTCTTTAAAAACTAAAGATTTACTTAATCTGCACCGCATTCCGATCATTGACTAGATATATCGCTAAACGATTTCGGTTCTGGCCAATTCTTGGACATATATTTTAAATAAGCTCTTTAAAAGTTTTTTGTATTTAAAGCGCTACACTGTTCACACTAAAACGGGGTACACGTATTAATTTAAAATATAAATGTTTTGTTTAAGACTCCTGTATGTTGTCAGATGATTCAGCAAGCTGATCCTGGATCCGTTCAATACGGTTCAGTTATACCGCAACTCGCCACACATATGTCTGCTTTACAGATCGGAAACGGATCGGTAAGTCTATACTTTAATGGCATTTCATTACTCTTGTAGATTCTTAGCGATTATAAACGATCATGATATTTTTTTTTCTGTAAATAGTGATTTGTAGGAGTGTTTATTAATGTATATACCCAATTTACTGTTAAGTAAACTATCTTACATACATATACACGCAATGCATAGCATCAGATGCAGTGATTTAACGACTTATATTTACATTATTTATTGAGGGTTTTGCTAGCTGAAATTGACGGCAATCGTTCTTAATCGTAATAAGAATCTCTTGATAATGTAATAAAATATCGTTTTCGTATATTATTATAAGAACTGCTCATTTTCGCCTCTTTTTTTTTTAATCAAGTATCCATGTTTTAGTACGTGGCCGGCCCACACCCAGGTTATCCGTACTACACAAGCACCGCACCAAACATAATTCACACGGTTCCGATTCCATCTGAAGAACATCCATCGACAGCGGCGTCACCTGATGACTCCTATCAACATTTCTCGCACAAATAAACAACATATTAAACCAACCAAAATCGATAAAATATAGTAGGTAACACCTCTTCTTATTCCCCAACGCTCTGAGCTATATTCTTTTTTTTTTGTTAAAATGTTTTTTTTTTTTATTATTATTTATTTATTAGTTGTTTTGGCCATTTCAAAATTTAGTTAAATTTGTCTAGTACTAAAAAATAAGGAAAGCTTGGTGAATATATCAAAATATTTAACTAGAAGTTATATAAAAATAATAGAAACTATTAGTCACTTTGTTGAACTCCGTTGGGAAAATAGATATTCAAAACACTCTTATCAACGCAGAATAACAAGTTAACGATATAATATTTTAGACAAACATAAATTTTAGTTCAATACAAATTTAGCTCAATTGTGGTTTTTATGTAGAGTAATTATTTTTAATTCATTATTGTAGTAGGCACTTGTTTTATCTGCCATTCCTTCCAAACAAGTCTTACCGAGTCTTGTTTTGTAAATTCCAAATTTATTTTTTTACCTGTTGCTATTTTTGTTCGGCTTCTTGACAACATGTCATTTATTTTGACATGGAATAGTTCTGAACAACACATGTTATCGTTTCACGATTTATTACGCCGAGTTTAGTTATTTTTACTGGAAAAACATTAAATTTATTTTAATCGCTCCATCGTTTAGATGTAAAAACGGTTTTATGTCTAAATTGTGTAGTTTTTGCTAATTGATTTTAGAGTTATTACAGTAACATTTACTGAACGTTATATTCTTATAATGAAACGAGAATACGTGTTTTTATTATATTATAAACGATTATCGAAAAAATAATAGCAGATTTGTACGGTCTAAAAAATATGTACTTATTTATCTTTTTGTTAAATTTGACATTCGGCATTTTGCCGACTAAATTTACAGCAATGAATTAAAAAAAAAAAAAAACATATTAATATTCAATAATGTCCATAATTGTGGTCTTAAGAATATTTGTTTTTTGTAAATTTTAAATTATTTTTGTTTTAAACATATTCATTGAAATTATTATTTATTTTTTTTGTTTCGTTAAAATTAATTTTTCGATTTTTAAAAAAAAAAATGTGTATAAAGTTAAAATTGTTTTGAGTTATAATTTTGTTTGTCGTTTGAAGTACCGTTTATTTCTTGAAATTTGAAAGTGATGTTTATTTTAAGGGTTGTCCCTTTAAGTGTATAACTGTTACACTCGTTGGCAACTAAATATAAAAATTAAAGCCTCCGAATGTATATAATTTTAACTCGCAATATTTAATTCGCGTTGCCGTTGACAACACTGACGCATCCGAAAGTCAACTATCGTATTATAAATACAATTTATAGATGAAATAATTACGTGAATAATAAACATAAAAAAAAAAATAATAAAATATTTAGATTTAAGTGTATTCATTAAGTTATTAATATATGTAACAATAATATTTTTGTTTAATAAGTATAGTTATGTAGCCTAATATAAGTTTAAATGTAATTTATTGTCGCCTTGCCGACCACTCCAACCCCTCCCCCCGTAGATAACCATCCATTTTATATCCGTGTGACTGAATTTTTTTTTTTTGTTGGTAAATTTGTCTCCTTGAAATTCTGTGATACATGTATTAGTACATGTCAGCGGTTAATAGTCACTATAATGTTTGTACCGTTTGAAAAAAATGATCTTTAAAACGATACATTTCAAATTTTTTATTTTAAATCTAAAAAAAATTAAAAAATGTTTATTTTTTTACCTTAACTTAGGTACATATTTTTAAAAAAAAAAAGAAAAGAGTTATTTTTGTTTTTTATTATTTTCATATTTTATTTATTTGTTTTAAAAAAAAAAAAAAAAATTCTTCTATAGTAACTAACGACTGATTTCGTCATATTTTATTTGGCCTATGGTTATAACATTATAATATAGTAAGTGTAAAAAAGTATATAAAACATGATGTGATTTTTTCGTTATTCATTTAAATTATTATGATTTTGACAACACTAGATGTATTTTTAACAATAATATTTAATTTGTCATTATATTTCACTCGATGGGGAAACGTAATTTTTAGCGCTGATCAATGATAATAATTAACAACAAAAATGGTAATATTTTACTGGGTATTTTCTCAAACATGATTCTCACACCCAAATCAATCAGAGTCACGAAATTCGCTCCTTTTACTATAAAATTTGGGTTAAGAATTTCATATTTTAGTTTATAAAAGCCAAACTTCTCAGCGTAAACATTAATTATCGGTCCATCGTGTTGTGAAATTGGTTCATCCTCCTCCCCAGTTAGTGACTTTTTCATGCCTTGTCAGCTTTTTAAAATCGTCCACCGTGGACAAACGGTCCCAGTCTCTTCGAAGTTTCCCAACAACGATTGCGACAGTGGTGCCAACTCTAAAATTCACATAAACATATTATAAAATTACAATAAAGTTTTATTTTTTTTCTCTATAACTCTCTCACCTCTTTCCACGACACTTTAGTCAGGTCGATATATTTTTCATTTTAAAACATTGTGTATAATATATATTATATATGAAACGTATGTGTGTATATATAAAAATATTTAAAAACCTAACCATTAATTGTCCGACGACTGTGATTATTGATTAAATAATAAACGTCTGCTCCATTTATCCCAAAGATATTATAATTTATAGTAAAGCCATTGTGTCCGTGCTCCCAAATATGTAAGGTTTTATTTAGCTTTTTTGTTTTTTATTATTTTCTCTTTCTCCTTCCCTTTGTCATGAGTTATTTAAATTATAGTTTTTATTTTTTGTTTTATTTCGTTTTTTTATAATTATTATTATTTTGATGAGTATATATAATTTATATGATACAATTAAATATTTGTAAATACGTTTTCAAAGCGAAATTTCAAAGAAATTTGGACGATGCCATTGTAATAGTAACGCCTTCTATAATAATCGTAGTATTGCAATCTTAAATTAAATATATTTCATTCGTAATATAGCTTATTATTATAGTTATTTATTTTTGTTTATTTACGATTTATAGACAATTGCCTTAACTTCACGCGATAAATGATTTTCTTAGAGAATTTTTAAGATAACTATGAAATAAAATTGTATATATATACGACTGTTCAAATTTTACAGGGGTATTTTTGTATTCTGTCCCATAAAAAAAAAAAAAAAATAATAAAAATTTAATAAGACTTGGTTTCGCCTAAGCGCCTTTGTCTGAATAAAACGTATACAGTTTTAAATGTGATATTTAGTACATCGGTGTCTTCCCAAGACGCTATTTGCACTTGATTATTTGTGCTAAAAATTAAATTAAAATATCGATGACAAAAAATAAATAATTTGTTCGCGAGTTCCAGACTTTCTTATGAACGATTTATTACGTGCCTACTAGTTTTCCGCTCACGTGATACAATGTAGACCACAGTAGACCGGACGATATTAAATCGAAGATAAAATCAAATAAGTAATAATAAAAATAAAAATAAATGTATTACCAAATATTGGTCTACGACCTTACCAAATATGTAAACATTTCCGATTCACGTACGATATATGCATGCTCGTATGTATATTATAATAATATATTATTGTATGAAACCTGTTGCGTTTTTCGACGTTTCTAAACGGTCATACGTTATAATATTCTCTATTTTATGTAGATCCTTATCTGTTTATTAATAAATATTTTTTTAAAACGTCTTTTGGTCAACGACGCATTATTATTGTTGTCATAATATGTACCTAAATGTAAGTCGATAATAACGCCTCAGCATATTATAATAAAAATTATAATGTACGTATGTGTATGATATATGTGTACTACAATTCAACAGAAAGAATAAAGATATTAAATAGTTCGTATTATCTACGTTTAATAATAAGATAACAATTCGTACATAATAATATGTAATGCATAATTTTTAGTATGTAAGTTAAAGTGTTATTATTATAATAATTATAATGATAATAATATTATGTTTACATTAATTAAAAGTCTAATACTAAATTCTTTTTTTTTCTGTAGCGTACCGCGCGTTCGTTACACACGATTAGCCTATAAATATTATTATAATATTAAGAGATAAATAAAAATTAATAAAAAAGGACGATTGTTCAAATATTGTTTTATCAGAGCTGTCTTAAACATAGCTTTTTTCAGAAAAAAAAAACAATTTAGCTTAGCTTTAGTGTATTAAGGTTTATTATTATTTTTTTTTTTGCTTTTAAATGTACGTCTTAATTTATATTTAAGTTTAGTGATAATGATAAAGATAATAATTTTAATAAACAAAAAAAACTTGTACCGTAAAAAAGTTTAAAAGGAAAAAATAATATTAATATAACGTCGAAAGGAGAAATAATAATTAATATATAGTACATAATAATATAATATATATTAAGTATGTGCGAACAAGATGTTTGTACGTTGTGATTGAGACTGCTGATCCCCCTCCCTAAAATCGGTGGGTAAAGTTGCGTTAAAAGATAATAATAATTATGATAAAAACACATAAAAATTAATGTGGAAAAAACTAGAGTAGCCCAAAACAACTGGTACTCTCGGCTTAACTCATTTATATCACCCGGTGTCTTGTATTATTAATTGTGACTGATCATTGTTATGTAGAAGGCCTTAGTTATTAAGTCTTGCCGTAATATTTATGTGTATAGTTTAATGATTTCTTCTTGTATCATTTTTTCTCCTTTCTGATTTCACCGAGTTGAAAAATTGATTATTATGAATTATTTATTGATATTATTTAATATTATACGTACTATATAATTTTTTTCTTTTATCTAATTTATTTATTTATTATATTTTTAATTTTTTTTTTTTTTTTTGTATATTATTGAACAATTCTATTTAATATTATGTCTCATTTAAAAGTAGGTCTCGTTTGTTCATTTTTTTTTTTTTTTTTTTTTTGTTTTGTTTGTATTGGGTTTGATACATTTTGGCGTTGTTGCATTTTAAGGATAGGTTATATTATAATTATTAAGTTTTTTTTTCATAGACTAAGACTACTATTTGCGTGATTGTGAAAAGAAAATAAAAACAACAAAAAAATTAATAAAAACTAAAGTTATTACGAAATGGACTTTGTGTTTTATTTATATTACCATAAACATTATACTTTATTACATTATTACCCGTAAATATTATGTTATTTTACTCATTTGCCTGGAAAACATTAATTATAATAGCATGATTAAATATTTATATGTCCAACATATTTTGCAAGAAGGAGGACTTCAAAGGAAGAAAAGGCGAGATTCCAAGCAAAGTTCTTGCTCTCTCTTTGGTACATCAACACGAAATTTTATTATATATCAATAAATGTTGCATTTTTTTTTTCTTGAAAAAAACAAATGAAAACCTTAAGGTATACTACCATAAAAATCAAATCAAAAATTTTAAATATATATTTGATCTTAACTAAAAAAATATGTATTTATCGGGTACTTAATTTCAGTTGTTTTTTTTTTTTTTTTTTTTTTTTTTTTGATAAAGCAAAATTCTTTATCGGCTCATTCTTCATTTGATTAAAATATTAGTAAACTAATAAAAAATCGTTTGCCACTGCATTTGCAAAAATGATAACAAACTACAGTTTTTCGATAAGCTAAAAAAAAGTATTAAAAAATTGGAAAATAAATATGAATATAATATTATAATTATACTTATAAGAGGTTTAATTAGGTAGTAGTTATATATTAATAAAACTAATAGTTTAAAATATTTGAAATAAGTTTATTTTTTTTTTAAATAGTAATAATTATAATTTATAATTTATATTATAATATGAATATATTTCACAACAATTTACTCTTTCATTTATAATTTTTAATATTCTCCAATTTAAAAGTAAAAATTGCGCTAAATCAGACCCTAACTATCACTAATTTAATTTAATTTTTTTTTTTTTTAATTTAAAAAATTTTCCAACATTTGACTTAAATATTTTTATGTTTGTTAAAAATATTTTTAAATTGAAGTAAGTACATACTTTAATTAAACATTTATTATTACCGTTGGATTTAAAACTAATTTACGTATAACCATTTTTACTATTTTGTTTTTGGTCCTTAGACTTCTAAAAACTTGCAACCTGTAAATCATAATCATACAGATAACAGCTATAAATAAACAATAATAAATTGAGCACTACATGAACTATGATATTATTATAAATCAACTGGTAATGTGCCGCTTTTATAATAGTTTTTGCTATGTTGGGATGTTTCTAAAAATTACAATGATATATAATTTTGGTAACTCTTGACAGCAAATTTCCACTGTACTAAAATTAGCTTGTAAAAATATTCAACCAGCGCTTAAAACCTATACTGCAAAAAATTCCCTTGTAAGTACTAAACTATTAATAATAGCACAAACAATTATAAAACTACTGTTAACTTAATAAAATGTTATTTTTTATAACACCTTATTTTTTTATTTCTTTATTATAGGTATTATATTTTGTGCCATAATAAAAGACAAAAAAAAAAAAAAAAAAAAAAAAATAATAAGCAAATGATTTGTAGAGCTTGACATATTATGTAGATTCATTCCATTTCAGGAAAAATAACCCTGGTACCATATGCGTGTTTCATAAATAAACTTTTTTATCGATTGATGTTACAGAAGTGTGTCTTAACTTGAATAGCCTGCAATAAGTAACATATAAAATAATATATGTGGCCCAGTTTATTTGTTTGCAATAAACTATGTAAATCATGTATTTCGTATTCACTATATTCGACAGTCGTATCAAACCGAACACTGAATTCGGATTAGACTTTCATAAGAGCCATACGGCTAGAATTGTTTTGCAACTGAAACGGATGCATACATTGTACGTATTTCGATATGAAAATACCAAGATGAACATTTCAAACAGTATTAAAAAATAGAAACTGAAAGTGGATGCTTATCACGCAGTTAAAAATATTCAATACGCATTGATCGAGTTACTGTATATTTTTTGTTTAATTTACGTTTATACAGATCACAATAATTAATATATAATAAATACAATACAATAATCTGTTATGATGTCATTGGGATCACGGTATGAAGCAGAAACGTTTATACACGGAATGATTGATTATAATTTTTAAAAAATTTTAGAAAAGTTTTGTGGAAGTATGTGGAAGTACAAGAGTTTTCGTATGTCTTACAATTAATAATAAACGCTTGACGACTTATAATAGAAAAAAAAAAAAAAAAAAAACAAGAACTGATTTGAAAAATTAAGTTTGAATCGCCGCACGCGTACACGTTCTTTAAAAATGTCATGGGATCGCGATCGTTTGAAAATATTATGATAACATACGGTCTTAAAATGCGCTTAAAACTTTCGAAGAATAGAATTTCAACAGATCCATCGTCGACGAGGGGAGGTGAACAGGTATAGTATTGCCGACGGATCAGTTTGCATATATTGTGTACATTAAGGGAAATCTGCTGCATCGGTGGGTGCGGCGTAGGGCTCGGCGTGGATTGCTGCTGCGGTTTTGCTTTGTGCGGACGTCGCGACGCAATCGCATCGCGTCGGTCGGTCGGTCGTGTCACTGCTGCCGTCTGATGGCCGCCGACGACGAAACGGCGGCGATGGCTGTGGCCGTGGCCGCGGTCAGTTTCACGGCGATCCGCTGCTGGCACCGCTGCGGCGGCCACTGCAACCGGGCGGCCGCCGCGGCCATCCGCTTGTGGTGGACGCGCGCGTGCTTGGTCAGGTGGTCGGACCGCGAAAACCGTTTGTCGCACACGTCGCAACCGTACGGCTTGATGCCGGAGTGCGACCGACAGTGCCGGGACAGCTCGTCGGACCGGGAGAAGCGCCAGGAGCAGCCCGGCCACATGCACCCGTACGGCTTCTCGCCCGAATGCCTCCGCATGTGCACCTGTGGACGAGAACGTTTAAGTGGCCGCGATAATACCGCGTGCGATGTGACGACGACGTGTGCGTCCACCACACGAGTAAGTCATAACGTCTTATCTATCGTTGCTGTAGTCGCCTATCGTGTTCAATGTCATGTTTTATTGTTATTATTTTATTTTATTTTATTTTTTTGTTTTTTTTTTTTGTCGCGTTTTTAAACTGTTTATTATTATTAATTTTTTTTACTATCGATGTTTGACTCGACTCGGAAAAATATTAAAATATCGCCTTTCCCGGCGTCTCGTAGCGTACAATATACAGTATTAATTCATAATGCACGAAACGAGTTTGTGATAGAATTTTGTTTTTTTTTATTAAGTACTCGTAATTATTATATATCCGTCAAATATTTTAAAACGTGGTTCCTCGGCGCAGTGAAGTACCTATATTGCCTATAGGATACGCCGCAGTAGAACGTTTTAGAACCCGCGCTGAAACGAAACGGATGACAGGAATTCATATTTTTCGATCGCTTCGCGGGATAATATTGTATTAAATATTATTATGATTCGCTTAAAGTTGAAAAAATTGTGTTCAGTGGAACAAAAATATTGAAAAGTTTTCACTTTTAAATATAATATTATTATATTATCTGCCTTATATCTGATATTTTTTCGTCATACGTATGAATAACCGCGTTTCCGTGGGCGAGAGACCATTATAAGTAACTACTTAAAATTAAAAAGTTCAATGTATTTTATTGAATTTCCGGAATACTATTACAAACGGTAACAAAAATAATATCAAACTCTGGTGACTTTCCAATGGTAAAATATACTACTTATTTAATTGATTAATATTTACTTATCATTTAACGGTACGAATTAATAATAGTTCTGAAGAATTATAAATATTTTTTAGAAAAATGACTTATAAGTTATAGGTATATTAATATGTGTGAATTATAAAACGTACAGCTTAATATTACTGTGATATATTTATGATCCTACGCAAAGCAAGAGTATACAAAATGTATAACTTATAAGTTAACTACGATCCTTAATAAAGTGTTAGAAACTGAAAATTTGGCATGCTTTTCTGGGTTGTTTAATTTTAAGAACCCATATTGTTATTAATACATAGACATTATTTATGTATATAAGTATTACCATTAGTTTATCTTCTAGATACGAAAATGTATATATATTTTTTTAATGAAATAAATATGAAAATATACTATCCACAATAATGTTTGCAGCATATTTTAAGTTTACAATAATCATGAAATAACTAAAACTTAAATGCTAACAATTAAATATTTTAATAATTTAAATCAGGTGACTGAATTTAAGTTAATATTTATTTGTATAGTATATCGAGTATTTATAAATAGAATAACCTATGTTTGGTCATTAATTAGAATCAAATAGTTTAAATAGTTATCTTAACTGAGTTAAATAAAAAATAAATAAATCTGTTGCAGAATGGTAGACATTAAATGCGTCAATGTTTTAGTTGCGTATAATAGTATTTTTAAATTTTTTCAAAAAATATCAAATCATAATATAGCTATATAAACACAAACCGTTGAAATTCACCTTGAGGTGGGATGGTTTCAAGTAAGTCTTGTCACAATTTGGATATGTGCACTCTAGCACCTGTTTAACTTCACTCGATTTATCCTGTTGTTTCGGTTTTTGTGTTTCCGTCACATTTTGTTTTTTGTTGATCTCGTCACTGTCTTCAGTCACGTCATCATGACCACTGCATGGCAATAGTTCATCAACAGTCAACGACAGCAACGTGTCCAAACCCGGGTCGTCTACGTACATCCTGGGGTCGTCCCAAAACGTTTTGCTGGGGTCGTTGATGTAGAACTTCGAAAAAACAAAAACGTTGATTCATTAGATTTTTATATTTAAATATGATGAATAACTGTCATAACTGCAACGATATAAAATATGCTTAATCAAAGATAAAAAATTAATTAGATTAAAAGTTAGAAAATAGAAAGTGAGTTATTTGTTTTTTAACCTAAGAACATAAATAATTTTATTGGAATAAAATAATGAAAATAATTTGGCATTTTCAGATGCTTAAAAAGAATCAATCATGTTGAAATAAAAAATATTTTTAACATTTTTGGTTTTTATTAATTGATTATTGTATATACGGTTTCAAATAAAAATAATATAATAGTTAATAATAATAATATAATAATCTATTTTTTTTTCTAAATAAAATAATATTATATATACGAATAGATAGACAAAAAATACTCGGATTTTATTCAAGGCTTTAACTTCGTTATAAAATAAATTTATTTTATTTTAAACCTAGTTTTGTTAATCTTAGTTTAAAATTTACATTTAGCCAGTTAAATTTATTATTTGTTAATTATTCACTTATTGAATTAATTATATTGTGTTTACTATACGTTAATTTATTTTGAGTTATTTAATAGATTTAATTTATTTATCCACCTTTGTAAATATCGACGGTAAGTTGTCAAATCATTATTATGATATGTTAAACAATATGATAAATAATAATTATCAAAATTTTACAGTTATGCTGTTTTTTATATTCCATTTGTTTAACACGTATTATGACGTTTACAATCTATTGATTTTACACCCGTTCAGACAATTATTTAGGTATTTATGTATTACATTTATGTTAATAATATATTGTGTACATTAAACGCGTGTCTAATAGTAGTATTTATGTGTGTATGAACATTCTCTGCTATCGATACAAAACAAAAAAATCTATTAAAAGAACTAAAGTCATTTCAATTTTATAATAAAAATAATATGAAATTTGATTAATATTATGGTTGTCAACATCATTCATCAATACTATAGTTTTACGTGTATTCTTTAAAATAAATCTTAATTATTATTGGAATGATCTAACTATAATTTTAATACGACTTAATGACTAATCTACCTATCACAAATCTAATAGTCTTGCGTTTGTTTTTTTTTTTTTTTGTGATAGCTGTAAGTTAGATTTAAACTGTAATCGAAATATGATGTACGAGTTGTATGAATAATACAAAATAATAGCAGTGAACAGTCAAAGCTGGTAATGAATCATCATATAATATAATAATAAAAATAATGTGAAGTATACCTATAAACAACACATGTGGTTTATATTCACTGTTTTTTAACAATTGATATTTATGTAAAAAAAAATGTACTGATTATACTAATTTATTTGACATAATTTAAATAATGGGTATGCATACAATAAATAATTAATACAATTTGGTATTTTAAACAAATAACACATGGTATTCAATACTAAATAGTATTTGTGTCATTATTGAGAAGCCTTAAAAGTAAAAAAAAAAAAAAAAACATAAGATAACGACACAAATAAAAGGAAATCGACAACAATTTATCGAATTTTTGAACCGTAATAGGTAAATTTATATTTTTTATGACTGTAAATAATAGTTATATTCATATAATATTTCCATAAGTAGTACTGAAAAATTGTGTGAAACCAATGCTTTAAAAAACGACTCGAGCATACAAACTCGTCTAAAACTGAAAATATAAAAACCGCAAATCTTAAAAACGTATGTTTAATATTCAAATTAATTAGGAACTCTAAATTTATATTTTTTAGTAGATACAAATTATAATTTATACAATAAACCTTCTACCCTTATATTTGATAAAATTGTTATGAAATAAGTAGTTGCGAATTAAATATTATGAATATTGTTTTTAAGAACTTACTTTGGAAAAATAAAAATAAATATTTCAGTTATAAAACTTTTAATTTAATATTATATTATCATTAAAAAAAAAACAATATATTGTAAAAAAATTAATTTATTTTGGTAAATATATAACTGTCAATTAGATAAAGATGTAATTATCACATGTCAAACAATTTGATAAACAATTACGATTATCTATTAATATTCAATTTTTAACAAAAATGAGCAAGGTATTATTATTAAAATATTAAAGATTTTTTACTGAAAATATTAATACGTACATAAAATAACCGTAAATTATTTTATTATTTTTTTTTTTTTTAATTTATGAAAATATTCTATACAAAATACAATACTTAATAATTAGGGTTTTTAAAAATAGTAAAAACATCTTTATTTTCAAAGATAAATTATATTAATTAATTGAATTTGTATAAGTTATATATTTCAATTTTTACCATATTTATAATTAAATATATTGTTTGCTAATCATTTAATTATAATAAATTTAACGTTCTCATAATAACTCATTAGTGTTGTGATAATTTTAATGCTCTATAATATGTACCAACACAGATAATTATTTTAAACTTTGTAAGATTGTATATATTATTTAATTGAAAAAGTAAGTTTGCAATAACAAAATTATAATTTTTAAAAAAAAGAAAGAAAACAGATTCTTCTACTTTACAGTAAGTATTAAGTGTACCTCATTATTGAGTAAATCTCTGCTATGTTTAATATATTTAATTTTAACTTAATAATACATTTTTGCATATGTAAAACGATTCTAAATAAATTTGGTTTGTCAGACTACATTTAGTACATTTTATGACATATTTATCTATATTATATCACTTAAATACTAATTTTGTCGATAATTAAACTTTATAATATGTCTGTAATAAAAATAGTTTCTATATCTTAATTGTTTTTAAATAGCTATGATAATAACGTATAAGGAATCTTCTTGCAGTACATTTTCATGCTTTTTGACCCAGTGAAAATAGAAAAACTTAGAAAAAAACTAAAATAAAAATAACAAAAATACATATTCATGTAATATATTGTGTATAATATTTTTTGCAGACATTTGTGGTTAAAATTTTGACAAATAACTGTGTAGGTATTTAAAATATATTTTTCAGTTAATTAATTTTTTTTAAATAGTATTAATAATTGGGACTTGAAATTACATCATAACATATTATATCACTTTACCTTACGCAATTAAATGTTAAAGATATTTAGACTAATTATAAAGTTTTTTCTATGAACATATTTACTCTATTATAATGTATATTAGAATTGAATAATAAGTCAATATTAACATTACGGTGTAAATATGATATAATTTTAAATCATTGTTATTGGTGTTTCTTAAAAAAACAAATCAACATATCGTATTACAAAAAGAGAAATAAATAATTAATATTTTAATATAAATAGTTCATAAAATATCAATAACAATACAGTCACACTGTGTTTGCTTATAATGGTTTTTAATATAACTCAAATTATTGATCTTATATTTACTACGGTGACAACGAGATGTACACTCGAAATCTTTTATATAGAAGAATTATTTTCTCTGTTTTTAAAAATTTTCTGCTAACATTTAAAATAAATACATTATTTCAGACAAACTCAAAGCCATAATTATCTATATATAAAATTAAATTATCGTTGTACTCACGTCCATTAGTACCATTTTTGGGATCTTGTGACTATGTACTGCAATGCAGTTGCCCGTTGTCGACACTCCACAGTGATGATGACACGATTCAGATGATTCGGTTACTGGTGACAGAGTTTTTTTTTTTTAAATTATCAACTTGACTATTAGAAAAGAAAATAAACACATACGCACATTTCCCATGGGAGCTGTGCGTACCATGTCTGAAATTAGTACTGTTCAGATAAAAGCAGATTGTGCGCAGCTTACCCTCTACATGTGTAGACTATATTAGCGTCCTTATCTATACTCTAGAACTCTGCACGATTATTTGCATATGCGCCTAAAAGCACAAAATTCGTACATGAAAGGTGACATTTTTTCATCGTAATGCTCTTGACGTCAAAAGAAAAAGAAGAAAGCCATTTAGGGTATCTCTGAGTAAGTTCTACAAAATTATTATTTGTTTTTAAACAAACGGCCCTATTTTGATTGTAATGGTATAAACAATACTAGACAAAAACGAAATAATAAATTAATTTTTAAGTTAATTTCAACTTTTTAGATTAAAATGCTTACAATATATTTTAATTTTTAGTAACTTTATATCACTTTTATGTATTACAAATAAGCGAATGGTCTTCGTCTCATACCATCACAAAACCATTCCATGATGTTGACGCAAGAACTTTTCTTCCTTGTATATGCTACGGTAATATTAACATTTGGATAATGACTTTACAACTATAAAAATGTATCATGCAAGAGATAAAATAATTTTAATTTATCAAAAATATTAAATATATATTTAAGACACAATATTAATAATATAATATAATACAATTATTATTATTAAACAATCAGAGTTTATTTTTAATAAGTTATTTACTAATACAAACATTAAATCGAGTATTTTGTCTTATATTTTAAATTATTTCTCGAAATATTATTTTAAGTATAGAATTAAAGTGTATCCTACTTTAATATTACATGGCAACTTTCCAAACTTTCCATGATATTTGAATATCACAAAATTCTAAATAACTTACACTTACACTTATTACCAACTTCAGTTACTTAATAATTATCGTTAATTTGACTACCAGTATGTATATAAAACATAAAAATATTCACTGTCGAAAATTTCTTAACATTGATTAAAATTATGGTTTTAATATTACTTGTGAGCTGAGTATTTTACAGAAAACAAACGTATATCTAGTAAATCGTAACAAAAATTAAAATAATTTTGAACTTTTAAAGACATATTTTATGTATTTAAGTAATTCTGTAAGCAAGCCCAACACAAATTTGAAAACGTGTTGGTTGTGGATAACTATCAGTTATCATTGATCGAAACCCAATTAATGACAAAAACTGGCTTTTAAGTTGCATATCGAATTAATTCGCATAAAATTCGATTTAAAAATAAATAAATAAATAAAGTATTTTTAAAACAATGATGTATCTATTGAGTAGAATATTTACTCTGTCTAGAGAGTGAACATACCGATTCTACAACATCCTGTTAAGATCTGTTTGACTATTTTTATCGGGTAACGGTTTGTTCTCTTACTGGCCAGAGTGTAAATACTTATTTAACTAATTCGCGTTTATACGCATATAATACGTTATTATAAATATTACACATTTACACCTACGTTTATTTTATACAATCATAGGCTTAACTCGTGTTCATAAATGGTTTTGTATTATTATATATAAACTTGAGCAATTATTGTAGTTCGTTTTTAAGATCATGACCATTAGTTGAATTTGAACACTTGAACTGTGTTTAGAAACTTTCTACCCTAGAACACAACAAAACTACTCAATAAGTGTATGCGTTTAATTAATAATTTAATCTATATTCTGTGATTTAGTATAACCATAAAATTGTTATATATCAATTATTAAAAAAATTGAATGTTTATGTATAAATATTTAAAAACTGAAACAAATTTTTAATAGAAAAAATAATTATTTAGAAAACCTTGAAAATAATTATGACATAAATAATATTTAATTTTAAATATAAATACTGAGATAAAAACTATAATAAGCATTTTCAAAATTAGATATTAAGTAAATTTGGTGTTTAAAATGCTAGGATAGCATTTGAAATATTTATCAAATTTAATTTCCAAAAATATTTTCAAATACATATACAAAATTTTTTTTTTTTTTATGAATAATCAAGTATTTATTCCAAATACTTCTTAAAAATTTGATAATTATATTGTACATTACTTTTTTTCTATCTCTTGAATCTCGGTATTGATAGAATTAATAGATATTATTTTTGAATCATTAAATTGTCTTTTCCTTCTACTTAAAATTGTATCACCACAATTTCACACCTTATATTACATAATATCTTTCTAACTAGTTATAATCTATACAAATCTACATTCGTCGAAGTTTTAAAATTAAAATTCCTCTGAAAGGGCCAAGGAACGTCGTTTTTGTAATGAATCAATGAACATTTATATCCTATTGATGCTATTTATATTTTATAGATTTTTTATTAAAATTAATAAAATTTTAACATAAATTTTAAAATGCTGATGATTTAAGAATTTTTCAATTATATAATTAATAATTGAGTTTCTATTTTGCAAAAACATAGATTTATTTTTATTGAAAATTTTAATTTTTCTCTAAAATAATTTTTAGTTAAAATATATATTTTTAAACTTTTAGTACCTAGTATCTACTTATGTATTTTTATTTTTATTAAAGGGTAAAAAAGTTAATTATAAAAATGCTGTTATGTTGAATAATAATTTTAAATCTAAAAGTACCTATTTTGAAAATGGCACTGATTAGTGATAATAGTTGGCTATTTGTAATTTTTTTTTTATTCCTTAAAAAAATAGAGAGAGTGAAATCTATCAGGAGCATTTTATAATTTAGTTAAACCACCACGTGGCATGATCATTATAACAAGTATGTATTATAAACAGATTTGTAAGCAATTAACGTATCAAAAAAAAATATTCTTTATTATAGAAGAATATATTATATTCTTTTAAAAACATTCAAAGTTTAATAATTAGAAAGCTTTATATAGTACTAAAAACAAATAATACTTGTGAGATGCGATTATAAAATGTTGCGCAAAATAACAAATAACAATCGTACAATTTATTATATTTAACTATGTTACACCAACGACGAAAAAAAAATCAACTCATCTTTCATAATAAAAACGCATGTATTATGTTACAGTGTTAAATCATGCATATAACGATGAGTTTCAATGTTATTTAACGAACCACGGTAATGGAATTGTTATTTGTTCGACAGTAAGTCGACTATAGAACAATACAATACTATGAATAAAAAAATAAGCAAAACCTATTATGCTTTAATGGTTATTTTCGTATTTTATGTGCGATGACATTAAATTAATAGAAACAATTATTTGACGTCACTTTAGTTTTAATATCAAGATTTTTTATTTAGACATTCAATCGCAAGAATAAAAATAAATTACATCGTCCAAAACGTAACAATATTAAATAATGAATATAATCAAATTAGAATTAAAATGAAGAAAAAAATGTTGTTTAATAGATTGGATTTCTTCGCATTTACCATAATTTCGTATACCCACGATTATTATTTGTACAGCTCAATTAAGCTCGAATTAAAAACAAAACATTTATCTGTATACAATTTACTTTTAAGTTAAGTTATAACACATCTGTACACCGTGGTATAGAATATTAATACCGTAAATACGAATAGCGCCTGTAAGTAACATGTATTATAATATATAGTATATACTGCCCAATATAGGTTACACGGGTACACGAAAATAATATGAATAAAAACTAATTCAAAGTTTTTAGAATATTTTTGTTTTATTTGAATAATAATAAATAAAATAATTATTCAAATCCCATCATTTTGAATTGTATTCAAACACAGTGCAATTACATTTAATGTTATTTAAAAAATATATAATATATTATAAATTATAATATAATACTACTTGAACTAAAAAAAAAAAAAAAATAAAATAAAATAAAAACCACACGAAGAAAATAACAAACTAAAAAGTAATTAAATACATGTTTATAATATAATATCTATAAAATATATATATCATCATCCCTTCAACAGTATTAAAATATGTTATGTAAAAGAATAATAAATACAAAATATATAATAATTTTGTAAATTATTTATGCATGCAGTTTACACACAATAACGGTATTGCGATCGAGTGATATTTATAGTATATGATACTATGGTTGTTCGAAGCACTTCACTTTGGTATTAACGATCCAATGATTGGTACATTTATAAATGAATTTGTAGTTGAATCCAGCAAAAACTTGAAAGAATCGAACGCACGTACAAACACCCACAAGAGGAAAAATCCAAACAACAGTTGTGTGACCATATTCAACCAATACAGCCTGTAAATATGAAATATATTTTTATTATTACTGTTATTACGTAGATATTTAGTGGCATAGGCAGTCGCTGTAAAAAAAATTAGACATTTTACGGTTTTACCGCAGAAATGGGACATTATTTTTAGTTATTGTGTAGGTACGAGTTCGTTGCATTATTTTATTATTTTCGCTTAGAGTTCGTGTACAACAGTCCATAAAAAAATGTTTTTCGAAAGATACTTTAGTCGAGATCAGGTACAGTCGTGATCTACAGTAAACCGAGTTTTATATTTCTATATTAACAGCAGCTACTACAGTTACCGATGTTGCCACAATCAGATTTACAAATAACGATACATATTAAAACTATTTGCACCTTACAGACAAAAAAGACTATTACTATAGAGAGTACCTACCAACAACAGAATGTACGATGTGTGTACTTTATAATATACGCATATCCGCATAAATCTTTATCTATTATAAAAACAATTTAAAATTTGCTAAAACTGTGCACGATATGACCAGATGTTTAAACCGCAGAAAATTATACAATATTTTCACATGACGTTTATCACTATATAATACTGTTCAATGCCAAAATGTATATTCTCTGATAATACAGTACATACAATTATTTGTTAGTTATTATTTAATTTTTCAAAAAAATTTTATAATCTCGTGGCACATCAAAATAATGCTCGAGGCATACCATTGTGCTGCGAGGTATACAGTAAGAAAATAAATGGTCTTATCACATTGAATAAAAAATAACATTTTTAAAATCGTAATAAAACATAATCTAAGTTTAACGATCGACGCGATTTGTTTATAACCGGTCGTATAAGTGTAAAACTTATGACAGAACTAACCACAGTGTATAAGAAAGAATGAATGTTTTTGTTACATAATAAAATAGTCACGCTAATGGATAATTTATAATTATATTTTCAACCGCGACTGAAGTTATGGTTTACAAACATTATTATAGAATGTACACAAATTTTAATTTTTAACATCATTAATATTTGTAAAGAAATCAAATAATTAGTAAAATATACTTAGATTTTAAGTGCGATTAAATTAAAGACAAATTCAAAAATTATAAAAATGGATTAGAATGTTTTTTTTTTATTTTCACAATATTGGTATATGATAAATATATATTTTATTATATCATTGATATATTATAGCACAGCTAACTGTTCGTTGTATTATATAAACATTGTATTAATCTATCATTAAATCGCGTGTCTCAATGTTGAAATACGATATATCATTTTTATTGATGGCTTATAGTGATCTATTAACAGAAAACTCATTATAACATAAACTATAAACTTTTTTCTCTCCCAATAACTTTAAATAATCATTGAACAAAATATTTTTAAATATTTTAATATATTTTTTATCGTAACTATTTTTTTTAAACAATAACGATGTATAAAAATCGAATTTTGAACGAATAACTTAAAACGAGCTACAAATATTTAATTATAGATGAGCTCCCTGTACCACTCTACTCCATTTAAATTGATTAAAATACTTGTTAAAATAATCCTGCTTTGGAATAAAAAATGTATGATATAATTTTTTCATTAAGAATAAGTTTAAAAGCGTTTAAAAAACGATGAGAATAAAAAAAATAATATTAAAATGTTTTTTTTTGTTACGGCTAAAAATAATGTGATCAAAAATATTGTCATAAAAGTTAATCAATTTTGAAAATATGAGTGTTATTTACTAAATGAATTATTATCAAGTATTTATAGTTATATAGTATATATATACTATAAATAAAATAACTTACAGTTTTAGATGAAATCTCGCCCGGTCCAGATTTGCCAGAGGCTCTTTCATGCAATATTGACGAGCACCCAATAAAACTTGGATCATGTACTTTTCAATGTCAATATCAGTGTTTTGAATATAGAATTTTTTCATGTCCGCTTCATTTAAATTTTTTATTAATGATTTAGTGTTTTCGATTTTGAAGTTCCAACTGCGCATGGTAAAGTACTGCAACACTTCCATACCGACTGCTATCCTCTTCTGGACTCGTACCATGCTATAAAGTATGCAATACACGTAATGTCAATGTGGTTTATAAAACCATTTAAGTAAGTGGTTTGGATTTTACTGGGTCTAACTTAAGGTTAACTTGAAACTATTCCGCTAAAAATTTACTTAATTAATCCCTTATATTATAGGCACTCAACTATTCCACCCATGCATACTGTATATTGGTTCGACGATAAAGTAATATTATTGTATCAAGACCATAAGAATTCGTTCCCGTCTATGTATATTACTAAAGTAAACTTATTTTATGCCAATAAATTAAATTGACTACCCTAATTACATAATACCACTTAAAAATTCTAAAAACATATTTGAATCTCCCATAAAGTCAGTTTGAAAATTAAATTTTCACTTATTTTAAATGGAGCTCTTAAGTTTTTTTAAATTTAAATTATTCAAAACTGTATCAGTTTAATTCATTAATTAATACTAATTTGCAATAAAGATTGATTCTTTTAATAACATCGTTAATATTCGTGTAGCTGCGTATTGACGTATACGTACACAATATACGTGCGATAGTGTTCTGATTTTTATTTTACGCACTGTCACATACATTAAAAATAAATTATTACGACACGCATCTACGAACTTAGAAAATTACATCTTTAACCCCTTCAAAAACGGACAGTATCAGATCCAATGTGCTGTAATGTTAACTTACAATGTCTTTTGCCTGGCCAACACCATAATGCCGTCGATCAAGTAGGCCGGTACGACTTGCAGCCAGAACACTATGAAATAATGCATCAGTTTGTTGGTCCTTATTGATCCGTTAGGGTACCATAGACCGGCGTCGAATGGATACTCATATGCATACCGTTTTCCTTTAGCCAAAGTTTCACCCCAAGTCAAGTGAACAATGTCTCCTTTGGAAATATTGTAGCACGGCACCACATCGTCCATTTTGTTACTATAGAAATGCAATGTTTAAATTATTCTTCAACATTAATTTAATATATTTATTTTTTTAATTTAATAGTTCTATAAATACATTTCAAATTTATATTGATAGTTAAGTTAATACAATTTACTTATGGCGATCAATGATTATGTATAAAAGATTTAAACTCGAATCTTATGTATAAAATCAATTTTCTATAGGTACATTTTTCGTTGCTTATTTAAATCCAAAATGTATTTTATTTAAACAATAAAATAAAGCAATACAGTATAGTATAAAACAGGTTAGATTATAATAATAGGGTCTGTCATGTCATTTTTTTTTAACTTTATAATAGTTAATTTTCTATGAGAATTTCGGATTATCGTTCATATAGGTACTATATTAATATTTAAATATCAAATTAATAAAACGATAAAAACAACAAAAAATACAATTCTCTTAACGTATTGGAAAAAATATATCAAAATATAAATTACGTACGATAATTTAAATTGTATATGTTTTATAGCTCAATAAATATTTTATAACTATACATATGTAAAAACTCATAAATTCCTAAACTCAAGTGCACCCTGAATAATATGTTCAGAGGTGACACATGGTTTTAAATTAAACAGTCAATACTTGATAAAATATTTCATCACTTAATTAACATTGACAATTAAAAACTATAAATACATTTTTTGTGTGAAAAATCAAACCAACTGCATTAGGAATTCATTATGTTTGACTTTAAATTAAAATTCGGTTAAATTTTTAAGTTTAAAATGTTTCATTTATATATTTATTGTATACTATTTATTGCGTAACAATTAAATTATTAAATAAAAATCAGTAATACACACCAACCATTTTCAAAATCCATCGGCCGTATTATTACATATATAAGTTACATAGTTATAGGAATAAAAAAAAATTCCTATGAAATCCGTTAGTGTCGCATCCCAAATTAAAAATTTTGAACTCAAACTTATTAAGAAAATTGGTGATCAATGAGTAACCGAACACTCGACATTTTTAACACGAATTATCACCTCGAAATTTAAAATTCAAGTTTTATCTTTCGAGAATGCTAGACTGACGGGTACCTAATATTTTTTTAAACAATTATTATGAAAGGTTTTTTTTTTTTTATATATAATCAAATATACCTTTATCGGATTAATATTAAATATAAGTAAAATAATATACAATAATATACTATAGTAAGAGCTATAATAATTATTCATGCACTTAAAACGTGAACGTTTTAAATGTGAGAACTATAATGAATAATTCTACTTAATTCTGAACAAATTAAGTATATCTAAGTATATATATTTTTTTTAATTTGAATTATATTAACCTTTACATGCTTTTTGTTTCATATTAATATATATGTTTATTTAACTTTGTGTTTAAATATTATTGAGTATTTTAACTATTGTGGTTATAAATAATTGTTGCTAATTGAGTATATAAGTATAATATATACTTAGTACCTATATGTATGCTTAATTTCAAAATATAATAGAAAAATAAGCATCAGGATGTTATCAGTCTACCATGCTAAAAGATAAAAATATTAATTTGAGGGTGAAAACTTTGGATTTAAAAACATTTTATAATTTATAATTTACTTATTTTATAAAAAAATTTAAATTGAACATTTTAAATTTTAAGATTGGCCGGTCGATTTATAATACATGCCATATATATATAATATATTATAATAATAATTTTTCACACATTAAATATACAAAATAGGAGCATAATATATAATATTTACTCGATAAATGTTCTCTTCCAAGCGATCAAAATCAGAGCGTTAATTGCAATATCTACGGGCACTACTTCCGCTTCATAATCCGGACTGCATAACACAGATCGAATAACGCCTTTGCCACCTGCCACGATTACTCCTACCGGTCCGTTTAAGCTGTCCACCCAACCAGGAACAGGCTCTTTGAACGAAGGTGTCACTATATCCGACAGGAAAAAAAAATTCGATAAATTACTTCATCCGAACCAATAACGCATTAAAAAGCCGTTGCTGTTAGTGCAGACAGTTGATGTAGGTCATCAACGGTGGCTGTTGATTCCATCGTAAGTCTATACAGCGTGTGGGTTAGATTAGGCTCTAGGTCAACATAAACAATACAATATCGATACAAACTTACCAATCGATGGTCGGGCCACAGATATTGGAATTCGATTAGCGTATTCGCTGACCAATGATTCCGCCAACCTTTTGGAGTACGTATAGCAATTCGGATGGGGCCCGAGCAATCTGAAATTGATTCATTTATGTTGATTAAATATCGTTAACCATAACTATACTACAATTGATTCATTGGATTAATTACGTTATTCGAACAATTTTATTTATTAAGCCGTTTATTTCCTCTAATACCACTTGGATACGGCATTAAGGCTAATAATTATTCTCTGAACTGATGAATATATATTTTCGTTTATAGTTTCCGAAAAAATCACTTCCGGTGGTTAGGTTAGGTAGGATAAAAAATACTAATATATTAAACTAGTCAATTAAATCATTTTGTCATAATATACCATTAAATTAAGTTAATACAAAACATTAAAATTTAATTTGATAAGTTCTCAATAAAGCAGACAAGTTTTTGAAGCATCACAATTTTTTTATGAGCATCTTAATTTTAAAGTTCATAGTTTGACGATGTCTATTTGAATATTTAACCGTAAAATAAAGATTTTTTTCTTAATTTTTGTTATCTTGTAATACTAACAGTATTTATCGTTGGGTTTTCGTCATTCTATATAGTTATTATTTTTCATATTTAATTAAATTTTCATAATACTTACTAATTTTAAGGTATTTATATCACGAATTTATTCATATCATTTATACGTTGATATTTATAAGTTACATTAATATATTAAAAAACTTATAATATATAGTATTGATTTAATATTATATATTGTTATTATTGTGTATTATAAAATCAAAACATGTACAACTGTACAAGGAATATGTTGTGCGATAATTTAGTCAAAAATCGGTTAGGTTCAATCTACGGTATTACTAATAGCAGCATAAATAACTATAGGTACATTACATCTACTCGAAATCGACTACAAAAAAAAAAAAAAATAATAATGATAACAATAAAAAAGTGCAATTTAAGGCACACTATACTATACTGGCTTTTTTTTATGCTATTCATATTTTTGGGTTTAGTCCAGTTTCGTACAGAATCGTGAAAAATATAATTTATGCTTATTCTGAAGTTAACAATAATATATACACTGATTCACGATCGTTGGTATTTTGTTTTTTTTTAATTTTATTTGCAAAAATCACATTTTATTATTATTTTATTTTATTCTATTGTAATTCTTAAATTTACCTCTTGTTGTTATCGTTAGTCAAAATAACTGTTTAATACAAATAACTTATTTTTTATATCATACAGATATTACAGAATAATTATAATAACGCGTTATTATAAACAAGCACGTTGTTCTTAGAAATTATTTATAGTTAAATGTTATCAAAACAACCAATTATTAAATATTTTTCATTTAGTGATATTTATTGTTTTAAGCTTAGTTGTTTATGTAATAAAATATAATTTACTTAACTGAAGTTTATTAGTTGATTTTGGTTTTTTTTTTTTATGTAATTCACCCGAGTTAAGAAAAAAAATAAAAAAATAACCGACTATTAACTTTAAACTTATACTTGATTTTTGTTATAAACTCAACTTGAAATAGTTTAAAAATATCGTTATTTCGCCCACACTTGTATTACATTACCTAGGCGTGATGATTTCAAGCGTATGATCATCCATCCATTCGACAGCGCGCATTACGTCCTCCGGGTTGGCCGGTGATGGATAAATCGTTTCATCGAGTGTGTCATACTCGCAATGACAGAAAGCCGTAGATAAATGAACGAACGACTAAAACAAAAACATCGTTTATAATAGTTTTGTATATTATGAAAAAAAAAAAAAAAAACAAAATAAACCCGTCCTTGTCAAAATCAAATTTTGCCGTTTCACCAATGTAAATCGACAATAGCGTTGGACCGTAGTAATCGATTAATTAGGGATGCTCCATTCTATTTTAGCATAGCATTATGCCGATTTTTTTCTACAGAAACTCAATATCTAACTCGTATTTACTCTTGCTATGTTAGTGATGATAATATATTTATAACGGACAACATTTTTATTTTATATTTTTTAATACTCGTGTCAATAATTCGTATAAAAATTGATTGATTAAATAGCAAACTAAAATATTTAATGGGTCAATCATGAGCTTCTAAATCAGGGGTCACATATCAATATTTTTGAAGGGCTACATAAATAATATAAAATTTTTTGTGGGCCATCAAAATCTTAAGTACATATTTTTAGCATATTATGTATAATAGGTATTATTTTGAAATTGGATGTTACGAGAACATAACATATATATATAGATATATGTATGATATTTATTCTTTGTATGCGAGCCAGATAAAATATGTTCGCAGACCATCATTTAGTGACCCCTGGTAAATAATGTCTAAGAGATGCTATACGTTGGTCGTATTCGATTACACACTTATAGAGTTCGACTTATGATTTAATTGAGCGTTTCTGACAATTAGAGATATTATAAAAACTATACATCTCTCTAAAATATTAAAATTCATAAATTATATATCATATCTAATTTGTATACAAGCCCATAATTATTATTTTTTTTTTTTTTTGATAAGATATAATATATTATCATCAATTTCAGATATTTTTATAAGTTTCATAAAAAATATATATTCTTGTTAAAAATTTAGATTTTTTTGTTTTAATTTTTAAATTAAAATTTGGAAATTTCCATTTGAAAACCTCTCAGAAGTTTAATTACCTACTGAAATATATTAATCATATTTTTGTGACCAATATCAGTTGACTTATACTCACTAATAATAGAATTATACGAATTCCATAATACAATAAACTTTATTGAAAGCAATTATAGCAATCATTGCTTACTACATTCAAAATATAAAATACAAGTTATAATAATATAACCTATTCATGATAATATAGACAATAGATCTAATCACCGATCTCACAATTACTTATCAGTTCTATATGATAGTAGAACGTGATATTTTTATTGCTACTACAAAAGAAATATACAAATGTATTGTTATTGATAAAAAAGAAAGAAAATTGAGTTATATAATTATATAATTATTGATTTAGTATAATATTTTTAAATTAAGTTTATTGAATTTGAGCACAATGGTTAATACATTTATTATGATCTGTAGTTATTTTATATAATTTTTATATTATATTACTGCATAACTAGAACTTTAAATTTGAACTTAAACTAAAACTAAATTTTCATATACTAGTCACCTTTTTAGAGCATTATAAATATTTTAAAAATAATATTTTTCATAAAAAATCTAGGACTTTTTATTTATCCCCTTCACTATACACACATACGCTCACAAATCCAAAAGTTTTGTATTCAATTTATACACCACTTATGATAAAATTATTGGTGTTAAAATAAAATTCACAATGAACATTATATTATGTACACTATAGTAAGCATCGTTGGAACCAAAAACATTAATGCACTAATGTTTACTGATATTATAGTATAGTCTTAATGTCTAGGTCTAAGTTACCGCCAATTTTTTCATTTCAACGGCCAAGTCCAGCACGTGTTTCGTTCCAGTTGTGTTATGTCTTATCGCATCCTTTAGACCGGATTCCAAGCGCAACGAAGCTGCTCCATTAAAAACAATTGACACTTCGTTGATAAGTATCGACTTGTTTTCATCACTCAACCCTAGTCCGGGTTGGCCCAAATCACCTTCCATCGCTTTGATTTTCTTCAATCTTTCCGGACACTCGATGCGCAAGCGGTCGAACACCTTTAGAAAAAAAACAAAATTCATCGGTTACTTATGTGTTGTATACGTATGGGTAAAAGACTTCTAGCATTCGAATATATTTTGTATTTTGTATAAAAAAGATTCAACTAAAAACACGTTTGTTTTATGTCACTTCAAATTCAAATCTATAGTTTTATGTTACTTATTTAGATAATTTTTTGCTTTTGAAGCATATTTATTTGTTTGTGTTATTCTTCCCACATATTGTTTAGCTGCAGTATCAAACCTGCAGTGGTAATAAATAGACTGAGTGTTTTAGTTCACACACATACCGATTTAAGTATTGTACGTGACTTATTTTAGAATTTATTATCTATTTTAATATATATTAAACAATTAGAAAAAAAAAACGTTAGTGTATATTTTAGGCATTTTGAATGCATACGTGTTTATATTTTTTTTTTATTTTTTAGAGCTATAATGCAATAATGCTGCCCTAACTACAAAGTATAAACGAACGGTTGAAGTTAAATTAGTAGCTATGTTTATTTGGGTTCAATGACCTACATGATAAAATATATTTTTTCGAAGGTTCCTATAATACCCTAATGTTTACGCTGTTATAGTTGATGGCTACAAAATTATATTTGTATAATGGCCTTATTTCGCTGGTCCCTATAACTAATTACCGAATGCCGTTGTAAACAACAATTTCATTCGCGTTTATACATATTATAAAGAAAATCATAATCACTTTTACTTTCGTCACTTTTATAATCAGTTGTACCTCATTTAAGTGTACAAACCGTGTAGTGTATACATAACTACCTATTACAGAATTATTTTATGATGATCGTCATGCGTAAACGTATCTCGCTATACGACCAACGACCTTAAAAAGCGATAAACATTATTATTAATTATGGTTTTCTTTGATATTATTATAGGTACCGTTTTAGGTGCAACAGATACTTGATACACGCTATGCACGTAAACATCTTATCTAATTCTAAATAGTTATAACTGTAGGTACGCGCCGAAGGTCATATATACAACTATTACATTATACGTGAATGGCCCAGGGATATATACCATCCTTCACAAATAACAAACATACATTTTTGTGCCAATCTCCTAGTATATCAAAAACAGCTTGATAAAAATTATACAGAAATTATAATTTTATATTTCGAGCGAAAAATATATATTAAAGACACTTTATATCCTCTAGCTCAGGGTGGTTCAATCTTTTGTAGTTGGCGGACCAATTTACACTTTCATAAAAACATCGGGAGCCACCAAAAGAAAAAAAAAATGATATTATTATTTATATTTTATTTTATTACAAACATATTATATAATGCAAAAATTATTACATCACATATTAATATTAACATATAATTAGAATGATTAGGTTACTTATATTTAGAATTTAGATTCAAAAAAATTAATGTGATGATTTATATTATTTCTCGGAAGTCAATTTTTCAATATTAATTGAACACCCTGTGCAGGTGGCTAATCTGATGCACGATTCTAAAGACGAATTTTTAATACGATTTTCTAATTTATACTTTATTAAATTTACTGTAGAAAATGCCGATTTACAAATGTATGAAAAATATACGTAATTTCAAACAATGACAAACTTTCAAGAGAAAAATTCCGTAGTGTTGAGAATTTTTCTTGCGAACATAGTTCCTAAAACTTTTCAGGAGGTAAATTTACTTTTGATCGAAGAAAAAAGTCTACTTATAAATCACATAACTCTATTTGAATATCCGGAGATTATACAGAGATATCAATTGTAATTGAGTTGGTAAATAATTCAAATTTAGGTTTCAAAAATTCGAATTTGCATGGCATATTATGATTTTGTTATTATATTATTGTGACCTTTTTTTTTTTAATATAAGTTTTTTAGAGGAGAGGAAAAAAGGTTTTCGACAGCCACGGGTTGAACCACCCTGCCTTAGCTGAAAAATATTCAGATCACGAACTTAACCACAGCAACAATAAAGAAATGTTTTTAGTATTTTATAATATATCTAATAATTTAACTTTATAATAATAATATAATTTATGGGTTGTATACATAACAGTTAATACAAAGTAATAAATTTACGAAGAAAACTAGATTTTCTAAAAAAATGTTTTATACAAATAAAGCAATTTAAATTAAAGTAATGACAATTTATTATTTGAACCAATAAAATTATTAATATTATATGGTTTAATATTTAAGTACTTACCCATTTATACAGTAAGTACAATAATAGTATTATGAGTAGGTATTGAAAACAAATTTAGAATTTGTGATAAATAAATAATGATATGGCTATAATAGTTAACGAACCATAATTTTAGATTTACAGAAGAGAAACATTTTACAATGATATTTTATTTTTTTACAGGTTTTTTGTGAAATATTTTTATTTTTGTTAAAATTAAATTGATTAAACTACATAACTTTATAACGTAACAAATATTTTAATAGGAATTTTAATTATTTGATTAAATTAAAAGCTTTAAAATACGCCAATAAAAACATTAAATGTGAAAACTGACCGAATAACCACTCAACAGCAATGTTATATTAAATAAATAAGAGACAGCTGGTACCACTAAAAATAATCAAAATTTAAATAGGTACATAGAAAATGCAAAGAAGTTAATTGTTCATAATTGAAACAAAAAAATCAGAACTACAATTAGGATGTTTAAGCGTTAAAATGGAAATATATTTTAAATAATATTATTAATGGAAAAAAATTGAGTGATAAAAATATTGTAATATTATTTATAAAATTATCATTAATGATACACTGTACAGTTTACTTAAATGCTCACAAAATTTTATCAATTCCGTCCGGCATACAATTTTTAAATTTATTTTTCATTCGGCTTATACAATTTAATTATTTACGACTATCACTCAACTGCTAATTTCCTTATTTGCTCTATCCTGGCTGCTGGGCTGAAACCTCGCTTCGGTCGACACAGTACATAAATGAAATTGATGTCACCGCAGTCTCTAAGCAGCTTTTCGATGAGCACCTTACCCATGTAACCGGTACCTCCGGTGATGAACACCGAACGACCGCTGTACCACTCAGCAACTCCATAATTCGTCATTTTATCACCTGGAAAATAAGAATTCGAAGTTATTCAATAGGAATATATATTAATGTAAATATCTTCCGCAGAAGATTCATATATTTCGAATATTATAGCTCATATTAATAAATGTGTGTATAATGAGTGAGTGTATATTATGTTATAACTTATGAAAAACGTACGTCATAACATGCAATTTAGTATGCGATCGACATAATATTATTACTTTGTTACCCAAATAACGCGCTGTCTGCATATTATACCTAAAGATTATTATATTACTTGTGTGACGGGTTTACTCAAAAGGGAAATTTAATTTTATTATAGGCAAGGTGGTTTATTATACTTTATTACATAGACGAATTTCCAAAATAAACATCAACTATATAATATTGTTTATAGAAAAACCAAATATGAACAAAATAAAAAATAATATTATTATAAGTATTTTTTATATATTATACATGTATGGTGGAAATATGATTTTAAATCCAGCTTATAAAAACACACCCGACTTAACAAGGAATTAAAAAACATTTTTATTTCAATAAGCTTTTAATACTTTAATTTTATAATGAATTCCGTTTTTATTAATCAAAACATAATAAATATTTATACACACATGCGATATTGAAAACTGTTACAAGACAATTATTAATCCATTAGACTATTCGATATTGCATGACACGTTATTGAATAAAACTTTAATAATTTTATTTTATTTTTTTGTCACAATTCACAATACAATATTTTTGTTGCAAAAGTTCCCCACGGCTTCTCATATATTAATAAATAGATTTTATTAATATATTAATATCCGAAAAAATTATCTATTGAAATTATTTTTTTATACAGTTAGACTACACATTGATTCGTATTGGCAATGCATACTGTGATTCAGAAATATTTTCCAATTTGATATTACGTTTTTTTTTTTCATATTTATTTAAAAAAATAGTTATGTTATGTTAATGTGATACCTATAAAATATATATATTCTATGCATAATTATTGTAGTACTGACATGAATGAAATATATAATATTTGATACAGGCCATAACTATTGTAAGTACCTTCATAAAAAATAAAATTTAAGATTCACCGCACGATTTAATTATTCTAGCAATAATTTATTTTTGCAATGGTTAATACATTTATTATTTAAAATAAAAGTTTATGAAATACATAGGGATACTTCACTTTAAAATTTAAATCCATCCAGCGAAATATTTTATGGAGGCAATAAGGACAGTCCTTCCCATATTTTTACAAATTATATTTTACGTTGTTATATAATTCTGCATTTAATTAATTAATAAAAAATGATAATTTTTTTTTTTTCATAATAAAATAATTTTATCACATTGCTATGTCTATACTAGTATTGATCAAGTTATTGTTGAGTTAGTGATTTACGGGGTGTGTACATGATCTTTTTAAACGTTATCTTAGTCCATTGCACAGTGAAACACGATACAAACAAACCGTATGCGCTATTCATATTAGTTATTGTGATATTGTTTTGCAATATGTACTTTGTGTTTTTTTTTTTTTTATCATATTCCAATAAATAAATGTATTTATTTTTCAAGAGGGGGGGGATTATCTTTTTTTGCCGTCGCTTTCTTCCGAGATGAATTCTCAAAGACGCCTCTGAATCTATCCTGATAAGATTAAATTACAAAAATTGAAGTAATAATATTTTGTTAACGAATTAATTCGACTAAATATGATTTTGACGAATGGAACCCGTGTCGTTTGCGTAACTCTGAAAATAGTATGAACTCGTGATAGGTAAAGCACATCAGACATTAACAAACAAAGTGAAGTACTACAGTGTCGTACAAGTGAAATATATTATGGTCGTCGAAATACAATAGAATATTATTGTATAGCAATGCAGTAAATGTTGTAGCTATAACCCATAAGACGATAATCATAAGCGCATCATTTTAATATTATAGGTGCCATAGTTCTAAATTTCGAATATCGCTAAATCAAACTGTAAACATGTTGTAAATATAGTATAGTGGCTTGTAAACAGATGCTGCGAGGCGAGTGCACGCGATTTATTTATGCGGACCATGTCTACCTATCAGCTATTTATAATGTTTAATCTCAAACACGTGTGCAACGATATTGTAATCATAATAATTATAAAACGTACCAACGTATTTAATAATAATAAAAAAAAGGTACTTTTCGTACATAAACTGAGTAATTAGGAATCGCGCGAATGATTACAAGGACGATAATATTGTTATTATAGTATAGGTACCATAATCATGTGTGATGGAATACAGAGAAAATTATCCAGTTAACCTGCCAAGTGTTCAGATGAAATAGAACGTAACAGAAAATATGACGCCACCGCACGATTATTAATGTTTTTACGACGAACCGCTAAAGGATTGCTTATAATAATAACAATAACAACAACAACAACAACAATAAAAATACAATAATAATAGAGTTGTATTAGAATTTATGCGGTTTTTGAAATTAATATTTAAGTATAAACTATTATAATTGATATATATCAACTATAGAGTAATAAATATTATAATGATATCTGTATTTACAATTGCTATGATATTAGTGATATTACACTACCACTTTCTCATATCTTACCTACACCATACAATCACATATGCACGACTTTTGAATTATATCGAAATTAAATATTATAATATTGTGTTGTCAATTTTATAAGATTTCATAAAATTTTATGTTAAGAACTCGTCGAATAGACGACCATATAAATCATAGCAATGATATTTTATTATATTTTAAGATTTATAATATTAACATATTAAATTGATAAGAAGTGTTGAACAGTATTTTCGTAACATGAATAAAATTTAGGTAGCTAGCAGAAATAATAATATGTAGCATGTATGTTATAAAATATCACTAATTTTTCGTAAATTTAAACATAAATCAAGTACCTATGTAGTAACTATTTTTACTCGAATTTTTCTCCAATAAATAATTTATAATTTTTCAAAATCATCGAGACAAATTTCTGGTGCGAATATGTTCAAGGACTTCAAAAATTAGTTTAATTACATTATAAAATATCCATAGCCAAATAAAACGACGTAACACATTGGTATCTCATTTTATGATAATATATAGCTATAATATGCATTGGCATAGAATGACGGCAATGGAAACGAATTCAACTACACACTTTACGTAGTGAGAACAAAGATATTATTTACCCATTCCTATATTTTTTTTTTTAAACTCATTGGTTAGTATGACACATTTGTTTTAAGTTTTAAGCTTGAGCTTAAATGTTATTTTCTTAATTAATTTTTTATTTGTCATTAATTAATTATTAGTGAAATAGATATCTTAAAATGTTAATCATATTTTAAATTTATTATATCGATAATAGAAATATTTGTAACATAGATTTATTATTAATAAATTATTTGAAACAAACCAGTGTATGACTTCCTCCAACAACACGTTTTTTAGATGCAATAAACAAAAAAATATTATATTTGGCTCCTCTCCCCCCAAGAAAAAAAAAAAATAAAAAAAAATACTCAGTGTTACGCAGTCACGTACTCGCGTGGGAGAAAAATCATGTAGGTACACCCATACAGTATTATCGCATTGCCTCTGAATTTGCCTGGAAGTAATTTAAGTAGAAATCTAGAAACACAAATCTAAATTTGGGAAGTGGTTTATGTACTCCGAAAAAATTAAGTCTGTTTTATGTAGAAAAAAAATTAATATAAAACGTATTATGACGTTAACAAAGTAAAATAAAATATTTACATTGTATTCTGAATATTTTCACTTTATTAATAACCAACTAATATAGAATATATTAATATATTTAAGGTAAATTCTTAATTGGGTGATTATAGGAGATGTAGGGGGCATAGCCTCACGAAATGGTATTTTGAAGATTTATAATGGAACTTCTGCCCCTCCAATATATTTGTTCCCCCTACATTTATGTATAAACTTTAATGATATAGATATTCAATAGTATTAGTTATTAGACTATCTGAATATTAGTTGTGTAAGTCGTTTAAGATGTTATATATTTAAATACGATATTATAATACGATTTTATAAACAAATCACTTACCTATGTACACTATTTTTATTTTTTATTTAATGTTATCAACTGTTAATCAGAAAATTGTCAATGATAAAATGAGTTTAGTCAAATAAAAATAATAAAGTAGTAAATATTTTAAAAAAAATCTTTGTTTTAATTACATCTAATATTATTATCATTACCGTACTCGTTCATAAGTATAGTGTTACAGTCGTCAATCATATAATTTTGCCGGATAACGGCAACCTCGATATGTCTATGACATTGCCTTGACTTAAATTTTTTTCTTACAATGATAGACATACGTTTCATTATTATTATTACTCATAAAATTAAAGGTACTCTAAGGCATTGTTAAGTATTACATAGATATTAATTTAGTGATGATTTTTAATTTTTTATCCAACTAAATTTTTTAAAGCGGTCACTTATGCATTAATTAAAAATAATATTAAATATTAAAATTATGTTTCAGTAAACGTAAGTAAAAACTTCATTCCGAAAGTATTTTTATTTTCAAAATTTTAATTTAAAATTAATAATATAAGTTATATTTATTTTAATAATTATATTCATTATTGTATTAATGATAGTATGATATAGTTCGATAGTTTTTTTTATTCTTATTCATGCTAATTACCAATGGAATTACGTAAAAAAGTGTCCAGTGAAGATAAAATTCAGCGTAATAATTTATAGTATAGAGTCAGCTAGATGTACCTATTGTTTCAATTAATATTTTCATTCAACACATCAGACTGATAAGCATGCCTTCTATATTATTAGTATTCAAGTATGTAAACAGAAATTATCAAAAGTTTCCAAAATAAACTCACTGACCAATAGCAAGATCAGAATATCTTGTTCAAGATTATGCAATTCACGCACCAATGGACTTAAGTAAAATGATCAACCGGTATATTAACAATTTTTTGTATAAGT